TGCTTTGGTTTCTGATTTTATTTATTTGGGTCCTCTCTCTCTCTTTCTTAATGAGTCTGGCAAACAGTTCATCAATCTTGTTTATTTTTTCAAAGAACCAGCTCTTGGTTTCATTGATTTTTTTGTATTGTTTTTTGTAGTCTCTATGTCATCTATTTGTGCTCTAATCTTTATTATTTCCTTCTACGTACTCTGGGATTTTCTTATTCTTTAATTCTTCAAGTTGTAAAATTAAATAGTTTATTATTAATTCTTCTTTTTCTTTCTAAGGTAGGCCTGTAGTGCTATGAGTTTTCCTCTCAGGACTGCTTTTGCTGTGTCCCAGAGATTTTGAGTTGTTGTCTGTTAGTTTGTTTTCAGGAAGGTTTTGATTTCTTTCTTGATCTCATTGGTAATCCATTCATTGTTTAATAACATGCTATTTAGCCTCCATGTGTTTGAATGTTTTTGGGTGTTTTTACTATAGTTGATTTCTAATTTCATTCCATTGTCATCTGAGAAGATGCTTGATATGATTTCAATCTTCTTGAACTTGTAGAAACCTGTTTTGTGTCCTAATAGATGTTCTATCTTTGAGAATGACCCATGTGCACTGAGAAGAATGTATATTCTGTAGTTTTCGGTGAAATGTTCTATAAATGTCAGTTTTAATCCATCTGATTCAGTGTGTTATTTTTTTTAAAAATATATATTTTATTGATTTTTTACAGAGAGGAAGGGAGAGAGATAGAGAGTTAGAAACATCGATGAGAGAGAAACATCGATCAGCTGCCTCCTGCACATCTCCTATTGGGGATGTGCCCGCAACCCAGGTACATGCCCTTGACCGGAATTGAACCTGGGACCCTTCAGTCTGCAGGCTGATGCTCTATCCACTGAGCCAAACTGGTTTTGGCCAGTGTGTTATTTTTAATAATCATTTCCCTGTTAATTTTTGTCTGGAAGATCTATCCAGTGAAGTCAGTGGGGTGTTAAAGACCCCTACTATAACTGTATTGCTGTTGATCTCTCCCTTAATGTCTTCCAGAAGGTTTTGTTTTGTTTTAAATATGTTTAGGTGCTGCTATATTGGGTGCATATATGGTTATCAGGGTTTTATCCTCTTGTTGGATCGATCCCTTTAGTATTTTGTAGTGACCTTTGTTGTCTCTTGTGATGGCCTTCATGTTGAAGTCTCTTTTGTCAGATATGAGTATTGCTATCTCAGGTGTGTTTTTTTATATTTCCATTTGTATGGAAAAATTTTTTTCCCCATCCCTTCACACTAATCCTGTGAGTCTCTTGTTCTGAGGAGGGTTTCTTGTAGACAGCATATATTTGAGTCATGTTTTCATGTCCATTTAGCTACCCTGTGTCTTTTGATTGGAGCATTTAATTAATTTACATTTAAGGCTATTATTGATAGGTACTTATTTATTGCCATTTTCATGCTTTTTAAAAATATATATATTTTATTGATTTTTTTTACAGAGAGGAAGGGAGAGGGATAGAGAGTTTGAAACCTCGATGAGAAAGAAACATCGATCAGCTGCTTCCTGCACAACCCCCACTGGGGATGTGGCCGCAACCAAGGTACATGCCCTTGACTGGAATCAAACCTGGGACCTTTCAGTCCACAGGCTGGTTCTCTATCCACTGAGCCAAACCAGTCAGGGCACCATTTTAATTCTTTATGCCTATGTTTCTATTTGTTCTCATTACAACAGTCCCTTTAGCATTTCCTGCAGTGTTGGTTTGGTGGTGATAAACTTCTTTAGCTTTTTTTTTTCTGGGAAGCTCTTTATTTCACCGTCTATTTTGAATGATAGCCTTGCTGGATATAGTAATCTTTTTAAAAAATATATATTTTTATTGATTTCAAAGATGAAGGGAGAGAGAGAGATAGAAACATTAGTGATGAGAGAGATTATTAATTGATTGGCTGTCTCCTGCCTGCCCCACACTGCGAATCGAGCCCATAACCTGGGCATCTGCCCTGACCGGGAATCCAACTGTGACCTCTGGTTCATAGGTCAATGCTCAACCATTGAGCCATGCTGGCTGGGCTGGATATAGTAATCTTGGTTTCAGATCCTTGGTTTTCATTACCTTGAATACTTCATGCCATTCCCGTCTGGCCTATTATGTTTCTCATGAAAAATCAGCTGACAATCTTATGGTAACTCTTTTGTAGGCAACAAATTGCTTTTCTCATGCTGCCTTTAAGATTCTTTGTATTTAATTTTTTGGCATTTCAATTATGATGTGTCTGTGTCGGGTGCCTATTTGGCTGTTTCTTGCTTGGAACTCTCTGTGCTGCCTGAACTTGTGTGACTTTTTCCTTCACCTGGTTAGGGAAGTTTTCTGCCATTATTTCTTCAAACACATTCTCTATCCCTTGCTCATTTTCTTCCCTTTCTGGCATTCCTATGATGCAATTATTGTTACATTTCAAGTTGTCCCTCACTTTCCTTAAGCTGTCCTCCTGATTTTTAATTGGTTTTCTTTTTGGTCCTCTGATTTTTTTCTACTCTATCTTCTAATTCACTGATCCGCTCCTCAGCTTCCCCTAATCTGATGTGTATTCCTTCCAATTTGTTCTTTATTAGTGTTATGTCATTCTTCATTTCTTACTGTTTTTGTCTTACTGTATCTTTTCTCATGCTGTTGAGCATCTTTGCCATCATTCTGAACTCTATATCTGATAAATTTCTTATTTTCATTTCATTTAGCTGTTCTTCTGGAGAATTCTCTTGTTATTTTGTTTGGGTTTGTTTTTTGTCTCCCCATTTTGGCTGCCTGTTTGAGTTCATGTCTGTGTATTAGGTAGACCTGCTAGGCCTCCCAACCTCTAGTGCAGGACAGTGTCAGATGCTGTTTCTGACTGGCCCTGAGTACCCTGTTTGGAGCTATCAGCAACCCACAGCTTGTGGCTCCCTGTGTGACTGGGAGCCTTTGGGAAGAAGCAAGATGTGCACCAAGGTCTGCTTTTCCTAGCCCTGGGCCCAGAGGAGGTAGGCAAAGACTCAAAAGCCTCCAGAGGTCTGCCTCTGCCTGCAGTCTGATTGTTATTCAGTCTTGATTAGCCCCAGGCTATCAACCCTAGCAAGGCATAGACTCCACAGGGTGTGTGGAGAGGTTGTCCAGCAGGGTGGCACAACGGCTTCTCCCATAGGCAAAAGCCGCCTGGGTGGTCATGGTCTGCCAGAGAAAGACGTTCTCTGCGGTATGGGGGAATGACTCAGCACAGGAAATCGGGGTGTCTGTCTGCTGAGGTCTAACCCCAGAGTCCCCAACCCTGACTGCTGCTCATTCAGCTCCAGTCCACTCTGCCCTTCCTTTCCTGCAGCCAGGTGAGTGGCTGCACTCAAAATGTTGTGTTGGCGCTTTAAGAGGGTGCCTGCATTTCCAGCCCAGATAACACCTGGCTGTGGTAAGAAGTAGGGTTGTTGTGGCTGGCAGACAGCAACCCTACTTTTATCACAGCCAGGTGTTATCTGGGCTCTTTTCTTAGTTCTGGTGCTCTGGGCTGGGGATCCCAGCTTGGGGATTAGACCTCAGAGTTCTCAGTGGGAACCCCCCACAGCTGAGATACCTCTCCAGAACTTCAGCTGTCTGTCTGTCTGTCTGTTTGTCTGTGGGAGCCCGGCCAGCCCTTTTGCACCTCCGCACTTCCTACCAGTGTCTACATGGTCTCCCCTGTCTGCCCTTGGTTATCAGGTTCTCTCCAGCCAGTCTTCAGCTGATTATTCAGGATGGTTTTTCTGTGTTTTAGTTGTAATTCCAGTTCCATCCCGGGAGAGCAGAGTGTCAGTGTAGCTTCCACTTGATCCACTGCCCGTTTGGAATCGTCCCTCTTACTGTTTTTGGTGCATCTTTTCACCAGAGGGCCAGTGCTCCTGAATTGGTTTCCCTCACCGGTTTGGCTTTAAGAATCCATATACTTAAGGCCTATGCTTTATTTTAATTATTTTTTATTTTATTATTTTTAATCCTTCGGTGCACAGCATGATGCTCCAACTGAGCCACACCAGCCAGGGCGGCCTCTGTTTTATTTTCATCTGAGACATTGAAGGGACAGGAATGTTAACCATGAAACCCGCAGTGAACATGTAGTCCAAAGGGGTTGATGTGCTCAGGGAAATTTGATTTTATTTCCTGGACTAGTTGTGGGAATGTTTAACCTTATAGCTCTTTGGAGAGTCTCATCCAAGACCATTGGTATATTTTCTGTAGGTTTATATTTTACTTAAAAGTGAGACTTTTAAAAAAATCCTTTAGGAGTTGAAGCCGAATCAGAATTGGAGAGAATTATTTAATGCAGTTTCCTTTTAAAAGAGGCAGAACTTATTTGACCTCTTACAATAAAATGTGCTTTCTCAAAGAATTTCGTAAAGCAGTTCTTAAAAAGCGGCTGGCATGCTTTACACAGCATTGGTAGCAGTCCCCGGTAGCCAGTCTGTTATTTTACCATTTCACATACTCGGAGTTAAGAATTGTTTATTGCAGATCATGCAGTCTCTAACGTCTGGTATTTGTACAGTTAGCACCCCGCATCGAAAGGAGTTTCTCCATCAAGTTCTGTTCAAGGAAGGAGAATTTTTCCTTATCAAAGTATTACTCGTGAACAAATAAAACAAAAGTAGAAATTTAAAATTGTTAATCTTAGCAAAATATACAGATATAAAACATTTATCTCAATTGCTGTTAGTCATATCAGATCTTATATCTTAACTTGCTAAACTGATAGAGTTTTTGTTTCAGTTGAATTAATGGTAAGTTAAAGATGTTTGGATTAGGACTGTGAACATGAGAACGTGTGGCTGTGCAACGAGCAGCACCCTGTGCTGGGCAGAGTGGCACTGCCGGCTTCCGCTGCCCGCCCTGCCTGCGCCCAGGCCGGCCACACCAGGGAGGCTGCCCTGGCCGCGAGGCCTTAGCCCCCTTGCAGCGTGTCGCTCGGGCCCTGAGCCCAGTGCTGTCCATTGAGACAGCTGTGTGTGATGCTGTCCCTGTTTCAGATAGTAAAGGATGACTGTGAGGATGATGCCCATGTGTTCCGGAAGGCGGCCAATGACATCACATCCCAGCTGGAGATTAACTTTGGTAACCTCCCTCGTCCGGGGCGCGGAGCCAGAGGTGGCACACGGGGAGGCCGGGGAAGGATCAGAAGGACAGAGAACTATGGACCCAGAGCAGACGTGGTGGTAAGTATTTGTGTTCTGATCCCGGTGGCTTCCTGAAGAAGCTGGGCGGAGGCGGCGGCCTGGGCTGCAGTCTGATTTTGGAGGGTCATCAGATTCTGTGGTGGATTCCTTCTCTCTGTGTGGGTCTGATGTGGGTGTTTGGAACGGTGAGGTCAGCACGGCCATCAGTTGGGTACAGACCCTGAAGGTGCGCTCGGAGCAGAAATCACTGCATCAGACCCGACCCCAGGCGTGGGGAACAGATCTCCTCCCTCACCAGGGCCTCAGGGCACGTCCTGTACCCCGAGCTTCCAGGGCAGGCAGGCCCTCTGCAGCCCCCTCTCCACTCAGAGCCCTTCCCCCTCAGCCAGGTCTGCTCTGCCTCCAGCTTCCGCAAAGCTGCTCTTCACCGCAGACCTGCCTGCTCCCAGGAGGCTTCTTGGGTCACGTTTCCCTCCAGACCCGTGCACAGTCCTGGAGCAAGGGGTTGTTTCTTCTCTTTGCAGCATGATCTCCATTGGTAGCTGTTCTCACGGGTGTGGCTGGATTGTGTCGGTGGGCATGTCCACTTTTATCCGTTTCCCCAGGGCCTAGCACCAGTAGGCTTAGAAGGTGCTTCCTAAATGTTTGGTGCACAAACCCATGAAAACCTATGTGGTCGGAGTCGGGCCTGAGGCCCTGTGGCCAGCGTGGGTCCGGCCGTGAGTCCTGACGACTCTGTGGCTGGCCTGGGAGCCGTTCCTTTTGCTGCCGATTCCCTGGCTCCCAGGAGCAGCCCCTGGAGCAAGTGCCTACAGGTGGTTATACCTAAGCAAGAGCAAAACACCTCACAGTTCTTTCTGGTTGCATTTGAGGCCAGGTTGGAAAGGCTCTGCTCTGAGAATAGAAAATACACATCCTCTCCTTTGCAAGTGGAGCTCCAGCCACTGCGGCGCTTGTCAGGAGCCTGATGTTCTGGAAGCTGCGCCTGCCACGCCCCTGCTGCCCACCTGTGCTCTTCCCGCTCAGAACTGCCGCAGGCCCCGCCCCGCAGGCCCCACAGGCCCCGCCCCTTCACGGGAGAGCCTGCTCTTCCAGAAAAGCCTCCCTGACCACGAGGTGTGCTTGGCCACCAAGTTGTATTGGACACCCCTCCCGCGGCCCCTCCCGGGGCGTCTGTTACTGAGGTTCCCACACTGACTTCCCGTCAGTCTCCCTTCACCTTGAGAGCTCCCCCGGGGCCAACTGGGGAACCATCTTATGTCTCCACGTGGTCAGCCGTCTGTCCACTGGGTGACGGAAGTGCCAGGTAGAAAAAGGGTCACGCAGGAAGGTTTTGTTCGAGGAGGGGGGCACTGCCAGGCACTCAGTAGCTGGACAGCAGTGAGGGTGAGGGAGGGCACCCTCAGCGCGCAGCTCCTGGCGCTGCACTGGGGGCCGCCCGCCTCTGCCCAGCGTGTGGTGAGCGCTGGGAGTGGGAGCTGGTGAAATGACCGTTGGTTCCAACACTTTTCTCTTTTAGACACAAGACGTCGCTCCAAACCCCGACGACCCTGAAGACTTTCCTGCTCTGGCGTGAGCTCAGCACCGGGAAGAGACTTCTCGCTTGGGGAAGAGACTCGGAACAATAGATACTGCTTTTCCCCCTTCGGTGTGAATTCATTGCGCTTTGGGGGGATGGGTGGGTGGTGGGGGCAGAGATTTTCCAGGTACAGAGCTCTGTTCCAGTCGGGTTAGTCTGGCACTTTCCCACGGAGGAGGAGCGCGGGATTATATTTTTATTTAAGGACTTACAGGTGAAACAATGTTCAGACTGCGCACAGAGACTGTCCGTGGAGAGCCTCTCAGTCGACTGAGGAGGCGGAGAGACGGTCAGTAAGGCCGCCGGGTGCAGAGCCCGAAACGGGCCTGCGGTTGACTTGCCGCTGACTAAATGCTCCTCTCCTGGGATTGTTCTGGTTTCCACTTGACCAAACATTTTGAGCAGCTGTTGTGCAGCTCTGGTCACCACTCGGACAGAACCGGGAAGCTTGGCTTTTAATGGCTCCCCCGCCTCGTGGAGTCCGCCTGTGTGCACACCCGCACCGCGTTTAGTATCTGAGCACAGCTAGAGTGTGCGTGGTTTTTAGGATGAGTGTTAAGGATGTGGTTTTAAAATTCATGTTATTTAACCCGCCAATCAAATGAAAAGGGGTCCAGGCGACAGAGCATTGCAACTCAGTATCATAGCTTTTCTCCTTCCAACCTTGTGTGGGAATGGAGGCCTGCGGCGGGGCCTGTGGATGCCTGGGGTGTGGTCAGCACTGCAGGGGTCGGGATTCTTCCGTGGATGTTTGGGGTTGGGGCGGCTTCAGAGGTTCAGTAGCTCCCCAAGTCCCGCGAGGTTTGGGGCCGGGGTGGCAGCTGGGCAGGGGCAGCTGTGGCCGCCGCTGGAAGCTGGGGTGATGCGCCTCCACTCGGCTGCCGGGAATGTTTGCCCCTGGATCAGGTTCTGCTCGCCTGCGCTGCTCCACCTGCTGGCTCGGGATTTGGACCAGAGCAATAAGGCTGGCCCTCCCTCCCCACGGGGTAGTTGCGCTGAGACCGAGAGAGAATGTGAGCGAGAGCCCCGCGGGAAAGGCAACAGAATCGGAGCTGAACCCATTGCCTCGGGACGGGCGGCGGCGGACCATCCCTGTGGCCTCAGGACGTCACCCCTTGTCATTACATCCCAGTACGGGGGCACTGACACGTCCACGTCCGCGTGTCCCTCTCCCTGGAGACGACGGCGGGGGGGTGGCCGTCAGGGTCGGCCCGCGGCTGCGTCCTCCTGGGTGGACGTGAGGCGGTGCCGCGCAGCCCCCTTTCCTTTGAAGATGAGCAAACCCCCTTTTCAGAAGCGCCCCTCGTGTGGTGAAGAACGCGCGCTGCCAAGCCCACAGCACGGGATCTGATGCCAATGCCGCGGTCTCCCCACCCCCGTGCCGAGCGGGCCCCTGGCCGGGTGCGGAGCCTGCAGAGCCGTTTGCACCCGCGCGGCCCCGGCCATGCTGAGGCCCAGGCCCGGGGGAGCGGGAGCGGAGGGCGGGGAGACCCCCCTGTGCTGCAGGGAGGAGGGCGGCGCGCGGGCTCCGCCAGGCCCTGTGTGCAGATGTGCCGTCGGGCGCGTTATTCCAGGCAGGTTCACCCCACGGGAGACCTGGGCCTGCCGGACTTGGAAAGCGCCTCGAGCGTGTTTGGGTTCCCAGGGAGGGGCGCCAGCCCCAGCCCGACCGGGGCCCTTCCCAGCCAGGAGGGCACAGCTGGGCCTCAGGGTGCCAGGGCAGCAGCTGGGGGTGGGGAGGGTGGGGTGTCCCAGAACCTGCCGCGGGAGAGCCCCGCAGACCTGACAGCTGCCCCAGCACGTCGGACAGCCTGGGAGGGCTGGTCCCGCTGCGGCCGGACAGGCTGGATGCCGCCCTGGCTGGTCTCGTGTCGGGCCGGGTCCTCAGCCTGGTGGTGGTGAACACCTAATACTTGTCCCAGCAGGGCAGGCCCTCAGAGCCCCGGCCGCCCTGGGCACCCCCTGCCTTCTGGTCACTGGCCGGTCCCGTCCCCGGACCAGGTCTTTCCAGGGCGAAGGCATGGGTTCCCCCTGGAACCCTCCAGGTGGTGGGATCCTGTGGAGAGGGGCCGGCTGGGTCTCAGCGCTGGGCCAGGGCGGCCTCAGGGTCAAGGCGGGAGCCGGCCTCCATGCTGTCCAGAAAGAGCTGCGCTGCCAGCCATGGCCCGCCCGCCGGGCGAACAGTTTCACTTGGAGAAAAGGTCCCGTTTCCCGTTTGCTGCCGCCATCTCCCCTCAGCCTGGCGCTCCGCTCCCGCCAGCGGCCAGCAGGCCCGTCCTCCGGGCTGGCGCCACTGCCCCACGTGCCCAGGGTGAGGCAGGCCTGGCCCTGGCCAAGGGGGCCTGTATTCATGGTAGAGAATGAGGAAGGAAAGGAGCAGGTACTCAAAATAACTCTTTCTTATAAAACACAGTACAGATAAGGGCACAAAACCTTGCAACCGCCACGTAAGACGAAGCTGATGTCCCCAGAAGCCTGTCCGCTGAGACGGCCCCCCTCCGTCTGGATGCCCGCCGGTCCGGGTCCCCTCCGCCCTTCCTGCAGAACCACGTGACCACCAGCACGTGGAGGGGCTGCTGAGGGCTGTGCTGGGCTGGCCTCATCACTCAGTCAGGACGGGCACCGTCCTCACTCCCGCTGCCCGGGCAGGCGTGGACGAGGAGATGAAGCAGAAAGATCCCACCCACTGCCCAGTGCTCTCTCTACACACCCGTTAAATGACAGTCCCCTGGGCAAAACTGCCAGGAGAGGGACAGGGAGGGGCCAGAGGACACGTGCACCGGGGGCCACAGGAGCCGCCCTGAGTATGTGCTGTGTGCTGTGCTGAGCCAGGGCAACCCTGCAACACTGACCATTCACAATGGCCGCCCAAGTGAGTCTGCCCCAAAGCATGGCGGGACGAGCGGTGTCAGCTGTGTCAGGCCTCCGACAGGTGGCACAGGTGGCGTGGCAGGGCTTGAGGGGTGGGCACAGGAACACGGGGGCGGGGAGGCCCTCCTGACACCTCAGCTCCTGACACTTCCCCAAGGCCCTTGCCTGGGGCCCAGGTTCCCATGACTCAAGGCAATAGGACTTGCCTCAACCAAACCACAGTGGCTTTCGAAGCCATCACAGCTCTGCCATGGGCAAAGCAGGCCCACGCGTGGGGAGAGCAGGTCGAGCCAGTGGAGTTAAGAACCAAGGGCCTTCTAAGCAGTTTCTTTGCAAAAAAGCCTGGCCATTTCAGAGGCTTCCTTGGAGCACGAAGTCGTGTAAGCTGGGAAGCGCTTGCTCTGAGAAAGGAGTGGCCTGGCCCTACACATCAGGCCCTCGGAGTTCAGACACCGCGGCTGGAAAAGAGACACCATCTCCTGGAGAAGAGCCACCCGCCCGAGGCACCGAGGCCCCTTCCGCCAGGGAGGGCGCTGTCCAGCCCGGGCCGCACACCTGGCTGGTGGCCCTGGTCTGCACCCCCCTCCCAGCAGTTCTTGGCAGCGTTAGAGCAGCAGGGAGGAAAACTTTTAAAGTCTGTGCTGGTGGTGAAGGAGAGCGGGAATGAGCAGGGACGCTGGAGAGGTTTGCAGGAGGACGGTGGGTAGAGAGGAAGGAGAAATGCAAGGCTGGAGGGCCTGGCCCCATCCCACCCGGGTCCCTAGGCCTGGAAGGGCCTGGGATGGCTGCGAGTAGGCTCCTTACGGCACACCTCCGGGGGCGCCCTCCTCGCCGTGTCTGTAGGAAGAGCACCCGTGGAGTGGACGGTAGACAGCCAGTGAGGCCTTTGAGGGCCTTTTATGAACGTCACAGTTTTTGCACGGACTTTCCTGGGGAGGTAGAGGGGCTTCAGCTTCCATCAGGCAGTGCCGGCCCTGCCGTGAGCAGCACTGTCTCCTGGGGCTTGGGCTTGAACCAGAGAGGTGCCCGCTGGCCCCTCCACACCGCGGGAGGCCCAGCTCCGTCCCTGGGCTGAAATCTCAAGACCAAGTGAAGGAACGAGGCAAAAACTCTTGCTGAGGCCGAGGCCTGGGCCGGGGAAACGGGTTTAACTTGCGCCTAGAGAGAACGCCCGTTGGTGAGCGCTGCCGTCCAGCGAGACCTCCTCTGGAGGCCTAGTCCCTGCGGAGCCCGAGCCAGATTAACAGCCGGTCTAGAGAGTTCACAGCCCGGGCCAGCCAGTCCTCCCTGGAAAAGGGAGGAGGTTGTGCTCACCTCCCTGACTCAGGGAGGTGTGGGGTGGCAAGGACTGGATGGATCCTGCTGGCTGGAGGGAAGACCCCGGGGCCTGCGCTAAGCTCCCTGGTTAACCGCAAGGCAGGTGTGGGGGCGCCGCGGTGGGATCGCTCTGCGCAAGCCACCGCCTCTGCCCCCCGCTCCCCGACCCCCACAGCGCGCGGTAGACACACTGTCCCCCCAGCCCGCTGCCCAGGAGCAGTGCCGGAGGCTCCTCAGCAGCTCCCAGCCTGAAGGCGCTGAGCATGTGGGGTGTGGACTGTGCAATGGCTGGGGGCACGGGCGTGGGGAGGGCCGCATTCGCCACTAGTCCTGCAGGAAGAGCTGCCCTGCCTGCCCGTGCTGTGCTCCTCGGGGCAGCTTGGCTGGGAAGAGCAGCGTCCTCCTCCACGTCAGACAAAGCCTCCCCCCGCCCCCCCGCCCCCGCTCCCATGCAAAGCCTCTTGCCCTTCACGTGTGTCTGGGCACTATGAGCCCGCGGGGTCGGCCCTGGCTGGTGGGAGGCCTCCTTACCTGGACAGTTCTGTGTGGAGGGAGCACGTGTCATCCAGAAGCACGTCAAGGCCATGCAGACTTGCTAGCAAAGACAGGAGACAGTTAGAGGCAGGCGAGGGGCTGGCCAGCACCCCAGGAGGAGCTGGGAGAGGTGGCGAGACTCAACAGGGACATACTGTGCCAACCACTCAAAAGACAAAGGCCCAAACCTGAATAATGGGGCTCCAAGACAGGACTCTAGCAGGGATGACACTGGCACCCCGTCCTGCTGTTCATGGCCAGCTCAGCACTGACAGCCGCTGCTGGGGGGTGGGGGTGGGGGGGCGGCTGTGCATGGCCACAATCCTCTTGGACAGCATTAAAGCAGTGCTTTTATTTTTAAGTTAAATATGTACCTGGCTCTTAGAAATGGGCCAGGCACTTGTTCGAATGAACCAGTATTAACTCATTTAATCCTCACACGAACATATTAGATATAACCATCTTGGCTCCAAGAACACAGCCAGTAAGAGGCTGCCTGAGTCCAGACTCCGTGCTCTGAACAATGACCCCAAGCTACTTTTCGATGTGTGACATGAAAACTTCACAGTTTTCTATATTCTTGACCCAGAAATATCTCCTGTGAGAATTTACCCCATGGATCACCCAGCATCACCCAGGAGGCGCTCACAGGTGGGACTGCTGGTGCAGTGCGACAATCTAAAGAGCCAACTGTGAGGAGAGCGACTTCAGAAGCCGTGGCACGCCGCGGAGCGGGCACAGGCCTGTGCACCCCCCTCCCGCGCTCCCAGCACCCGCCACAGCACGCACCCAGGGGGAGGAGCGGTCCCGGGGTTACGCGCGGGCTGGCACAGGACCCAGCGAAGGCGCTCACGTACTCTGATCTCTTTTAATCCAGACACAGTGCCTTTACGAGTCCGGTTTTCCAGAGGAGCAGTGCGGGCAGGCGGCACGGAACAGGGCAGAGCCTGCTTGAGGATGCACACCGCCTGCTCTTTCCAGGCCACGCGCTCAGTAGGCGCGGGGCTCAGGAGGGGCCTTGTTATGTAGGCGTGCGGCTGCCAGCCTCTGGACCGCCTCCACTTACCTCCATGCGGGAGTTTCTCTCTGCAAGAGTCAAGTTTGTTGTTCTGTTTTTTTGTTTTGTGTTTTTTTTAATACTCACCTGAGGATATTTTTCCATTGATTTTGAGAGAATGGAAGAGAGAAGGAAAGACAAGACAGAAATATCGATGAGAAACCCATCAACTGGTTGCCTCCTATATGAGCCCAGACCTGGGCCCGGGCTGGGGCGGAGCCTGCAATCTAGATACGAGCCCTTGACCTGGAATCAAACTCAGGACTCTGGTGCACAGGCCAACGCTCAAACCACTGAACAAACCGGCTAGGGCAAGAGTCAATAGTTTGACCTTTTTTAACACACAAAATGATACTGCAGGTACCAGAAGTGTCAGATACCGAAGGACCACAATCTGCTATCAAAGTCAGCCTTTACCTGATCACCTAGAGAAAATTATCTTAAATGTAGGAAAATTAATTTATTGGGAGCTATGTGCTAGACACTGTTTTGAGTGTGTTGCATGTACTATCTCATTTAATTCTCATACTTACTGTTAAAATAGGGACTCTTTTTGTTCCCACTGAATGGAATCAGGGGTTTTAGCAGGCGGCCCATGCTCTGGGCGGCGTGGCCGATAACACAGGAAAGCAGTACCCGCAGGCCAGGCTCTCAGAGGCTCGCCACCCACACTCACAGCCCTGGGAGCTGCTCCGAGGAGAAACCGCGCACCTTGCGGTTCCATCCGCAGCCTGGCAGGCCCGGGGCCTGGCCGCCACGCCTGCCCCTCACAGCCTCCTCGGACTTCGAGCTGCTTGGCTCACGCCAACTAACCAAGCTGGTCAGTCACCAGGAGGGCACGCGCCCAGCACAGGTCAGTCACGGAGGGAGCAGGTCAGTCACGGAGGGAGCAGGTGGGCGTTGTAGCTCCCGTGGAGGGCAGAGCCCGCAGAGCCCTCTGGTGGCAGGCGTTTGGGTAACGGCGAGAAGACAGGGCCCTTTGGTTTGTGCTGTGAAAACTCATATCCCAGCATGAAGCCAAGCCCAGTCCCCAGGGCGCTGGACGCACCTCCGTCAGGACAAGCTGTCCGACACCCGGGCACGAGGCCTCCGTGAAGCCTGCCCCGGACCATGGCGAGGGGAGGCAGGTCCCGCACCGAGTGGCACCGGCCCCGCCTCGCGCCCAGCACGCGGCCCGAGCCTGCGGATGGAGGAAGGGGCACCGCCTCTGACCTGTGAGACTTCCAGTCCAGGAAGTGACCTTCGCGTCCTCGGAGTGGGTGGGGTGCGTGCAGAGTGACCCCCCACAGGAGCCCCTCACGTGCTCACTGTCTTCTCCCCGGGAAGGTGCTATGGGCCGAACTATATCCCCCACGGTCCTGAATGGAAGCCCTGACCCCCAATACCGTAGAACAGGACTGTTTGGAGACAAGCCTTTAAAAGGCGAGTATGTTAAAATGAGGCCATTAGGAGGGTGTCAGGAGAAAAGCAGGGCAGACAGAGGACCCCAGGGACGAGGGCATGGAGAGGCGTCGAGAGGCCAGCCCTGCCAGCAGCGTGGTCTGGGCCTCCGGCCCCCGAGCCATGAGTGGGACACTGCGGCGGCTCCCGCAGCCCAGGTGGGAGGATTCTGCCATCACAGCCCCAGCAGACGGATACTGACAGCCACAATATCCTCCCACTCAGACTGTCAGTAAGTGAACACAATAAACCCAAAGATTATTTGGTTAATACTTTTAATTACATGGTTATAATTATACAGTTTCCACTCTTCAATATTTTGTATAAAACCAGTTACATTACACATGATATTTCAAATGCAACAATACATATCGAACTACATAGATATGCCAAGTTTACACGCCATTATGAAGCTTTATCTTAAAAAATACCTTCAGGAAAATAAACATTCATTCAACCAGTTCTCTCAGCTTTATAAAATGTGGTTAGAAATCTACATTTTAATTTAAAAAATCAAGACAATGATTGACCAAATACTGATTCATCAGTTACATTTTAAAACTTTTAGTAATCTGTACATGAGTGCAGGTTAGATAAAAGTATGCAAATTATTAATATAAAACCGCAGCACTATGCCAGACGAAGCTATCTGCTGACATTTAACGAGGCGGTCGAGGAGGTAATGTCCTTCAGCGCAGGCGAGCGGCCGCCGCGCCCGCAGTGCCCCTGGACGTGGAGAAGCTGACCCGGTGGGAGAGCAGCAGCCAGCCTCACAGGACAGCGTCAGTGGGAGGCAACCGTTCAAGAATTAGAGTGGGTCTTAAAGTTGTTTTTGAGGAGCACTGCTCTCCCGATACGACACTTACTGTTTAAAATGCTCGAAGAGAAGCAGTTAAGCTCCTTTTAGAACAAACATCAAAGGAGCACGTGGCTCACTGGTCAGGACAGGGATTCAGGCGGAGGACGGGGCCCAGCACAGCCCAGCCAGGGCCGCGCCCAGAGGAAACCCTTCGTCTTGTGAGAGCACGGGGAACGCCTCTCAATCTGTCTGGGCCCCAGAGAAGAGGCAGAAATCCCCGCTGGGAGGGGAGGAGGGCGGGTCAGGAAGTGGGTAGGTGACAGGCTAAGGGGCTCAAGTTTGAACAGAAGGTTCTGGAGACCCAAGGAGCAGGGAGCCGCTGCCCTGGCCCAAGGCTGCTCACACATGGGCCAGGGACTCCTAGCGTTCCTTAACACAAAACAGAAGCCTGTCTGCACTTCTGGGGGCGCCGTGGTGCAGACACCTTCCTTTGGACCGCCCTGACTTTGTCCCCAGAACGCTTCAAGGGCACCTAAAAATACTCATTTCTACTTTTAGTTCCACTGAAAACTGTTTGGTGTACGTTCAAAGCTACTTAAGGCTCTTAAGTGAAAGGACTCTCAATCGGACAAGCCGTTTCATATTCCAGAGCAACAAGGTCTCCGGTAACAAGGCTCAGCAAGAGAACCTGACTCTGGAGTGTTGAAGGCTCGGTTGGGGGTGGGGTGGAGATTCCACTCTGATCCATAGCAAGGACTTCCCATCAGTCCGACCCAGACACTTCCTGGATCCTAGATCTCTCTCAGAAGTCTGACCCTGTTGCTATCTCCTTTGTGTTCCAAATCACTAGTTTCCTATGACTAATTTCAGGAACAAGGCTGTTAAACACAAGGATTTTTAGAAAGAGCCACAGGGATAGCCATTCTAACTGGAAATGTGAGCAGCCAACACAAAAGGCAACGAGGAAAATGGAAAGTGCTGAGGTCGACGCTGACGCCCACATCGTTCACTCTTGGCCTGGACACCAAACAGCTTCCTGAGAGGGGACAGCACACAGACTTGCTCTGAAGTAATGAAAAGCCAAGCCAGGCACGGTTCAGATGGGCATTTGATTTTCACAACTGCCTGGACGATTATGCAGGAGGCGGCCTTTAGAAGTATGAAGGGACGAAGAGCTGCCCTGAGAATGCAGCGCTTGTGCTGGGCGGGCTGAAACCCAGCACTGTCTCCCGGCACCAGGCGGCAGTGGAATGCTGCTCCTCCCACCCAGAGCTCACTGGGAAGCCGTCTCCCACCAGGGGAGTCCGTCTATGAACCTCCAGGGGCAAAAACCCCCTCCCTTTTTCTGAGATCTAGTCCCCTGGTGTGTAAATGCGGGCGTGGGCAACCCCCACAGCGCCTGATGGGGAAGAACTGCTTGTTTGGCCAAAACAACGGCATCTCCCACGTCCCCTCAAAGCTGGTCGACCCCCCAGTTACTCTGGGAGGAAACACCAAATGGAGCAAGGCCTCCGGCTCCTTGTGCACCCGCAGGCTTTATTTCTACCAACTACTTCTTAGTCCTCATCCTTCTGTTTAAAAGGCAGCTTGAAAGATGGAACTGCCTACTGACCTGACTCATTCATCTTGCAAGGTGAAGGCATTCTGCCTTTCAGTACTGTATCCCCACCCCCCACCCTAGGAGAGGCCGACATTGGCTAACAGGAACTAAAACCATTCACTTCAAAATATTTTGAAAAATATTCTCTTATTTTGGACCATATTTATATTTTAGCAGCAAATAAACTTTTGTGTGTGATTGCTTTGCATCAGACCCCGCTGTGCTGCTGCAGGGGGGAGGAGAGAAGGCACTCTGCAGAGCTGATTCCCTAACCGAAGGCCACAGTGAGGGTCTTAGTACAAACTGAAATCCAGATGTGAATACTGTCGCTGAAATCCATCATGCTACAGAGAAAGGCCCTAATAAAACAGTCAGCTTCTTTAAGCGCCCAGTATTTGGAATCACTGTTTCCAAGGAGAAGTGCAGGTTTTTCATGCACTGAAGGAAATACGGTTTTAATTTGTATGACTCGGCAACCAAATAGTGGGCAGCCTTGGAATTCTTCCTTCCCCAAATAACACCAAAGGCATGACTCCGCGCCTGCCAGCCGAGGCCAGCTTCCCCTCCCGAGTCTGTGGCTCCCGCCCAGGCGCCGGCAGGTGTGAGGTCACGGCGCCCACGTGTCCGCACGCAGAGCTCACGCGGCCTCCGGGATAAAGCACTCTTCGGTGGAACGCGAGCAGCTCGGGCTCACCCGGCAACGTGACACCGTGTCACAAGCATCACGGTGAAGAGGACGACCCCAAACAATCCATCACTGAGGGCCGTTTCGGCAAGGCCTGCTCCATCTCTGTCCATTCGGGCGCAGGGCGGACAGAAAATAAATAGGTGAAAGGCCTCCTCAGACCTGTCCTCCAAGGCCAGCAGCGAGCGCTGCCGCCGCAGGGACACGCACCAGAGCGCCAGCTCCCGCCGCGCGGCCCTGGGCTTACACCTGAGACGACGTGTGCAGCAGCTGCTCCACGTGGCGCGTCTACCAACGGCCAGCCGACCTCTTCCAGTCCCACTTGTTCCCACGCCCGTGCGGCGATTTAAACTCCAGGGGGCAGTTTCTTCACTGAACAAGCTTCTTAGGTGGAAAGCAGCTAAGGCTTTTGCAATTTTGTTTAGTTTCCAAATAAATTGTGCTAAGTCCTGATGTGGTTCTGTTCCCAGTCTTCCTTCAGTTCTGGTCACAGGTTTCTACTTAACGCAACACTGTCTTAGTCCTCGAAATGGGGGGACTACGGGAGAGAGAAAAGGACTTTACCATGAAGGTTCTCAAGTGTCGCACAGGCAGGTATTAAAGACAAGGAAGGCAACGTAATAAAAAATACTGACATGCTAAAAAGTACACACTTTGTATAATTCTTTAATGACAAATACTTTGGAAGACAGTACAATACCAACCATAAAGACAAACAGGAGAGAAAGGCAAAGCAGAAAAAGGTTCAGTTCTGCAAAAAATAAAAAGAAAAACAAAACAATAAAAACACAATAAGAGGGGTGGGGCAGAGGCAGAGGCAGAGGCAGAGGCAGCGGAGCAATGAGAGTACCATAATGCCATTAGGGGCATTTGCTGCAAAGCACTCCTTTTCCTTCTTTCCCTCTGAGGAACCAGGCTGTGGGAAGAGCGAAAAGAACGAAAAGATAAAGAAGTGTTACTCGGTTATTCCCAAAGCCAGGATTTGGTCACAGAACGGTGGGCGCCACAGGCAGCTTCCAGCTCAGCCCAGCGCAGTGCTGCCCTCAGGGGCCGCCAGGCACTGCGCCGGCACCACCCCGGCTGCCCTCAGTCACTGCCCTTGATTCATCCTCACGCTACCTCCCTAGCTTCCTCCCACAATTTATTACCTTCAGCTAAATAGCAGCTTTCAGAGAAAAACTAATGCAAAAGCAGAGTCAGAAAACCAGTTCCGATCTGGAGGCCGGCTCCACCAGAGCAGCTCACGCACACCCGTCAGGGTTCTCAGAGACCAGACGGCAGCGCAGAGCTGAGGAGGAAGGTCCAGGGCTGTTCGCAAGGGGAAAGCATCTGGAATTTCAAAGGGAGATTAATGTCTTAAAAGGGTCACCAGCATTTAAACACAAGAACACTGAGACATAACATTCTGGCCTTCTACACGGATGCACGTGTGGATGATGGTGGTAATAATAGAAAATGAAAGCCCTGAGGTGGTGAACAGTCACTGGGCCTGAGACGCTAACGGACCAGAAGCAGGGACAGGTGACGACGGCAAGAATCACAAATGAGAAGACTTAAGCCAAAAAGAAAGAGGAAGCCCTCACTCGAAGGGCGGTGAAGAGCATGGTTTCCGGGCTGAGGGAGGGGCCCTCGCGGCAGGATGATGGGGCCCAGGGTCCCCCAGAGCAATGAGCATTCGGTAGGTTTGGCAGGTGGAGCAGAAAGTGAGGGTCCCCAAGGATGCAACCTGGAATAGAAAACCCCTTTGCATCTGCAGTTCTCTTAGAAAATGGATGAAGTTATGATTTAAAAAAAAAAGAAAAAGAAAAGAAAAAGACTGCCACAAAGAAAGAGCAGAAGCTGCTGGAAGCACGCACCCAGCGGGCGAGCCGCGCAGCCTCACCCGGCGCAGGTGGCGGCCTCCTCCAGACCCTCCGGAGGCCTCCAGCGAGTTAGTGCGAGGCCCCGGAGAACGGACCAACTCTTCACTGCATGTGAGAGCGACATGAAGGTGGTTCCTAGCTCTGACAGGAGGCGGGAGGTGCAGAGCGCTCTAAGGATGGGGGTGTCAGGTGTCTGCTCCTTTAACATGTTTGTGGGAAGTTCTCCCGCGCTGTAAACTGTCAGACGCCAAGAGAGCCGCAGCGGTGGGCAGGGCGTGCGGGAGGTCTCCTCCAGAGCCTCTAAGAACAGAACAGGACAGGACAGGACAGGACAGAACAGAACGTGGGGACGCAGTCAAGCTCCTGCTGCGGGGACGGCGAGAACAGCACAGACCTGCAGGAGAGAAGGCGGGCTCCCGGCCGCGGGCAGGGAGGGCACGACGAGCCCCTCTGAAGCCTGTGCTACCCTTTTCATACTGTTGTCTGGGGAAAGAATCATCTCAGCTCATCCTCTTCTGTCCTGAATCGGACTGCACACGAACGTACCCATTCCCTCACCGTCCTCCGATCAGAAGCCACCGCTGTTCAGCAGGTAGCGCTTCCGCTGCGGCGCGGCTGCCATCGCCCCCCGGGAGCGGGGAGTGGGGCCTGCACATGACGTTTGTCCTTCTTTGGTGAGCAGGGGACTCACAGGTGACCCAGCACCAGCCCACGCCCTGCAGGAGGCCCAGGAGACCCCGCCAAAGGGGTCCCTTCCCGCCCCTCCCAACCCGGAAAGTCCATTTCAGAAACTTAAAGGAAGCCTTTGTGCTTCTCAGCGCTCTCCCCGGTGCCTGGACACGGCCTTGGGCCATTTCAATGGTAAGTCAGGCACCTCGGTCTGAACTCGACCTCAGACCCTCCCCTCCGCGCCTCGGTCCAGGGACTGGGGAGGTGCCACGCCCGCAGCGGAGGGGGGCAGGGCGCCCGCCCCGGCTCCTGGACTCTCCGAGGCCGCAGCGCCGAGTGAAGGTGCCCGACACCGGGCGGCGAGGGCTCCGGGGCCACGACCCGCAGAGAGCACGGCCACTCAGACATGTCCGACTGCCACCAACAGCTCCCTGTTTTAACTTTTAACAGTTAATTCACCTAAAAGTGTCCAAGTTAAAACACTCCCATTTCACTCCATTCACTGTAGAAAAGTTCGGAAAAAAGCAAATGATTAAAAAAAAAAAAAAAATCCTCAACTGTCCTAACTGGTAATATCTTGGCATCTTTTCCTTTATCTCATTTCAAAATACACAAATTGAAATATAAACATTTATAAATATTTGTTTATAAATATTTATACATCTATAGGTTTCTATACACATATATAAAGTATATCGTACATTTATAAAATTGGAATAATAGTTCATAATAATTGTGCATAGCTTTCATTTATCGCTTCGTGAGCATTTATCCAGATCATTAAATTTTCTTTAAAAACATGATTCTAGATATTCATTTGGTATAATTCATCAGTCTTTAGACCATTTCCTCCTTCTTACTGTTATATAAATAACATTTTGCTTTTATAATGTACTTAAGTCTTTGGATTTGGTCAGTAATTCTCTAATATTCTTCTTATGTAGAATTAGTATGAATATTTGATATCTTTCTGATGAAAAATTTTAAATCCTAAAATCATGAGTCAGAGCCCAATTCTCAAACACTTGTATGGGGCCCAATCACATTCGCATATGGTAAAAGCATGCAGGAAAACTGTCCAAAGAGACTGGCAAAGACGAAGATGGCAGAGCCGGACAATCCCTTTAGGAAGGAACACTCATGGAGCGGCTGGTCGCCAGCCAGTGCTCAGCACCCGACGGCTGCGCCACCCAGAGCCTCGCTCAGCACCTCGGACCGGCACTGTGGGCTCAAACCCCCAGGCCCGGCCGAACAATGAAGAAGAAGCACGACATCTGTGCAGGGCGCTGTAGGGAAGCCGGGAGCACACCAGGACAGGACAGGACCACGGCTGCCCCCTCCAGGCTCCGTCACACAAGCATGGAGCTGCCTGCCGTCCGCTCCTGGGAGGACGCCGTGGGCTGCCTGCTCCTCCCCCAGAGGGACCTGTTCATAGACTACGGTCATGACAGAGCTCCCGAGGCAACAGGGAGCAGCGGCTGCGGCTGCAGAACATGCCCCGCTCCCTTCAGTAATGAGGGGAAGACGCTGGGCTCAGAGGAAAAGAGGAGCCGCGTGGCTGTGGGCTGTGGACTGTGGCCAAGGTCAGTCCCCGGGTCACAAGGGATCGCAGCCCCACTGAGCTCGCGTGTCCACCACACTTATGTGCAGCGAGCTCTCCAACAATCCTGCAGCACCTGCACACACAGGGTCCCCCGAGTCCCGGCAGGGAGCCTTGGGAATTCTTAACTGAGAACTTACAACAGGCTCAACTTGCCCACATTATGACCCAGAGACCACATCTCCAGGGTTGAGCATCGTTTTTGAAAAACAAAACTAAACAAAATCCTGCATTAAAACGGTCCCGATTTCCTGGGATGACCAACACATCAAACACATGTGATTAATTCCCCATCAGAGGGCTCTGCCTTGGCCTGTCTCCATTCCTATCCCCAGAAGGTGAAACTGGACACAATGCCTGGAACTGTTCAGAAGCGTCGGATTCTTTTCTCACCTTTTAAAACTGCTTTTCCTTGAAGCAGATCTGGTGGTTCTCTTAGCAATGCCTGCACTGCCAGAAATGCCAGGTTCAGGTGTGTTACAGCTCTGAACACTGGACTGAAGAATTACTCTGAAAACAGTTGGAAAAAATAAGATTATATCACTGAACAATTTCCACATACTTGACACAGGAAGGCATGGTTGCACCTGAGTGCAAATTATCTGATGGAGAATTGGTAGGATTTTCCACAAACACATGTTTACATCGGGGTCTTTTGAAATGAAGCATCTCATTTCCTTACGAAGGTTAGTTACACAAAGATAAACGAATGACCTGGCATTTCAACAAGCCCCACAACAAAGAATCAATCAGCAAAGCAAATGTTTGTGTCCCAAGTAAAAGTAAATCCTCAGAATTCCTGTCATGAAAACAAGAAATCATTTAAACCCCCCAAATTCTATAGATCGTGAATATAAATATCTAGACAATATTCACTCCTCAGAGCTGAGAGTTAAGGGCAATAAATCCGGAACCAATACCAATTTCACAAAAGACTTCACATTTTAAAACCATGTTCAAGCAATATGTGAGTTTTGTTCGGATTACAACTACTTACTAAATCACCAAGTACCATTAACAAGAAAGTGAAACTGCCTGAATTCTGTGACACTTGATTTAATTAAACTATGAGAACCTCCAGGAGGCGATGCTACGGGGTAATTATACGGAGGCAAATTCATGAATGAGAAAGAACTCCCTGAGATCAAGCCTCCGTGCAGGTGGAGGGTGTTCGTATTCCTCACTCCGTTGTCACAGGGAAAACATCAAGAGACTTTACACACCTTGCTTTTCTTCAAGAGACCGAAACGCTCGAATGCATGCCCCACATTTAGAACAAGCACTCAGTGTTATTTCTAAGAGAAAACACTGGCTTGAGAAAGCTTCCTGCTTGCCTCTGCAAACACAAATAACACAGCCAATAACAACGGACTCGGACCCAGCTCTTAAGAGAAAGAAACCATACCAGCCGGCCGGTGTGGCTCCGTGGCTGAGCACTGGCCCAGGAACCAAGAGGCCGCTGGCTCCCGGTCAGGGCACATGCCCAGGTTGCAGGCTCCATCCCTGGTCGGGGGCGTGCGGGAGGCAGCCGATCAATGTTTCTCTCTCAGTTGTTGTTTCTATCTCACTCTTGCCCTTTCTCTCTCCAAAGTCAATTAGAAAAACATGTATTTTTTAAAAAGAAACCATTCCAACAAACTAGTGGTCCCCGGGCTGCTGTCCATCGAGGGTTTCTGAAAGCCTCATGAGACAGCCCCGCCGCCCCCTCCCCCCGGTCTTACTGAGGGAAACTGATCCTCGCTAATGAGCCGGTGCTGGACTCAGTTTTACCTCCTAAATGTTGACTGTGCTGGCATATGCAGACACAGCTGTGCGATTAAAGACACCCACTGCCCTGGCACATGAATTCTATGCCTGAAAACAAAGGATTTATTTAAAGTTTTTCTGATTACATAAAGGAGTGTCTGTCAAAGATGTGAATCTAGAATCTAGAATTTTTCATAAAGAAAAAATAAAACAACGAAAACCAGCCAAGGGTGCTCCCCGCGCGAGGCGGTTTATCTCCACTTCCACAAACGGAGAAAGTGAGACACCTACTCCTCAAATGAGGCCACTTACAGCCCAAAGTACGGACAACTACCGCACCGTCCAGCCGTTAATGTGAGGAAAAACACGGGCCAATGCATCGCCTGCTTAGGAAATTTGAGATCTGATTTCTTAAACTGACAATACTATTCAAGACAAGAAATGACCGCTAAATCAAATTTTAGGCTGACAGGAAAGTTTTTTGTTTTTTAAAAAGTATTTTAAAGTATCTATCAAATTAGTGTAAATAATTAATGTGAGCCCTAACGGGTTTGGCTCAGCGGATAGAGCGTCAGCCTGTGGACTCAAGGGTCCCAGGTTCGATTCCAGTCAAGGGCATGTACCTTGGTTGTGGGCACAACCCCAGTAGGGGGCGTGCAAGAGGCAGCTGATGGATGTTTCTCTCTCATCGATGTTTCTAACTTTCTATCCCTCTCCCCTCCTCTCTGTAAAAAATCAATAAAATATATTTTAAAAAAGTAATTAATGTGAATTAATATAATAATATTAATAATAACTGATGTGGAACTTTGAAATAGAGCACGGTAGACATTTAGAATGCATTAAGTCACACTAATAAAGATTCGGGCCACCAGCTATTTGCATTAACAACAGAGCAGCTCTTACATCTGCAGATTATGCATCAATGAGGAGGGAAAACCCAGCACCTGCACTTAGATATTACCTGTGAGACCTCCCAGCACCACCTGCAGGGGATAGGCTGGCAGACTGCCAAGGTAAGCGAGAAGGAACCATTCCCACCTCCAAACCAATCACGTGACCTTGCAGAGCACCAGGCAGCACATGCACCTTCTCCTCCCACCCTCCCCAGCAGAAGCCTCTCGGGCCCACACTGCAGTTCCCTTTCCTCTCTGCGGGATCTTCCCCAAGTTTGGACATGACATCTGCAACTTGAGGATATTGTAAAGTAAAAACTATCAAGCCACAAAAGTGCCTTGAACATAAACATTCAATTCCAAGAAAAGAATCCATCAGTGCAGCCATGTCCTATTTACACTGGCTGTTGACCACGATGCCAAACGAGCTTTCGAAACGATGGGCCGGGGCCCTGCAACTCCGGCCGCATCTTCCCACTAAGAGTCTGACGCAGCAACTGGGGGGGGGGGGGGGTGGGGTCGTGGCGTCGCCAGCTCCAGGCCCGCCACCAACTGTGCCCACGAGCAATCGCCTCAAAGACAACTACGAGGACTCTATCTATTTACCCCGTCGTTACCCCTGGAAGCTTTGATTTCTGTAAACTCCAAGTTAATCCATCAGGCTGAATGGATACTCTGTGCGGGGCTAGGCCAGGGGTGGGCAAACTTTCTGACTCGAGGGCCACATGGGTTCTTAAACTGGACCGGAGGGCGGAACAAAAGCATGGATGGAGTGTTTGTGTGAACTAATATCAATTCAAAGTAAACATCATTACATAAAAGGGTACGGGGCCGGATCCGGCCCGCGGGCCGTAGTTTGCCCACGGCTGGTCTAGTGCAATGGCGGGTGTTAGCAATAACAGAGAAAGGTTACGCCTTCCCAGATGGTAAAGAGAAGAGAGCCTCATGGAGTCCATTTAAAGTTACCCTGGGAAAATAAATAACCAAAGCAAATAACCAAATAACCATTCGCAGCGCCGCCACCCATGTGGAGCTCATCTGCCGCTGGAAAACCACCGGGAAGGGTCGTCTATATTGGAAACACAGTGTCAGCCTATGCGACAAGTTCGTATTTAACGACACATTTTAAGAAAAGGTCGCAAATAGAAACACGTTAAGCAGCTTTTCCTTAATTTTGAAAAGAATGAAGTCTGCTAGTTTTCACAGTCTTTCCCCGCCATCTGAAGACACTCAATGAAACCATAAAACACGAGTGGTGGTGGCCATGAAATTTTACTTTGGAGGAAGTCCTAGCAGGAACTTTTGTATTTCTTAATAAAACTCCCAGGTCCAAGTTGGAACAAGAAGAGAACTCCTTGAATGGGCTAAAGAAAAAATGTCAGAGAATAAGGAAGCAGCCTGGATGGGAGAGGGCGCGTCTCGGCCGCCGCCGGGCCCGCGCTGGGTCTGGGCTGGGATCCTGGTGAGCTTGCGCACGTTCTTCTGCAGGAAAGACGTCTCTTCTCGGGCACGGGATTCACTTAATGGTGAGAGGTGTCCAGAGAACACAGAGTCTGTCCATGTCACCCTAAGAAAGGCATTTTGGTTGCTTTCGGGGAAAGAAGGAAGGCAGGAGCAGCGCTGGTCATGCAGAAACACAAACACAGACAAGACTCCAGTCTTCTCCGCTTCCCTCCGTCCGACAACCCGTTCTGAACACTGCACGTGGCTGTGAGGGGAGGCAGGGAAGCGAGGTCGAGGAGAGAGCTCCGCAAACTCAAGACAGAGACTTGCTGGGAAGCAGCTGCTGCGAGAGGCGTGTACACGGCCTCGAGGCCTCCTGGCTACAAAGTCCGATTTTTACCAACAGAAGAAAATCAGTGCGAAACTTACTTCTGCCAGATTGGAAAGGATATGCTGAAAATATTTACTCCAGAAACTAGAGAAAAGTTGTACAGACAAGTAATGGAAAGAAAAGCACCCCAAAGTAACTGAATATTTTTGAGAGGGAAAGAAATTGCTACTTCAAGAAATCTGTTAAGAGTCAGCACAACTTAAACACAAAGCCAGTGGCTGAGCATCAACTCAGGAGCAGTTCGACTCCCAGTCAGGGCACATGCCCGGGGGGTGGGCTCGATCCCCAGAAGGGGCCCTGCAGGAGGCAGCCTATTGATGATTCTCTCTCATCAGTGATGTTTCTATCTCTCCCTCTCCCCTTCTCTGAAATAAATAAAAACATTAAAAAAAAAACACCAAAATAAAAATCAAAGTGTGTTGTTTTTACTGTCTCTTGTACGAAAAGAATAGTGAAGGGCCCCCCTCCCTGACACCACACCATGAGTTGAGTTTTCGAAAAAGGACCTTTGAGAAAAGGCAAATCAATAAAGCGAGGAGAGCTGCGAGTGACAAAAGCATGCATCATGGGAATCGGCAGCAGTGAGCGAGGAGAGGAATGGGTGGGACACTTACACAGCAGCTATGTGTCAAAGGGTCCGATGGCTACTGTGCTCTTAAACCATCGAGACAGAATAGCAGGATGGGGAGAATGTAGTCACAAACAATCCACCAGATGACAACACTACACAGTGCAGAGGTCAGCACAGCTAGGGAACATCTGGAAAGGGCGAAGGGAAAGAACAGATGTTCAAACTGAGAAGCCAAAATAAATAAAACAATAAATAAATGAAGCCATGTGTACATTTTAGGCACCCTGTGATGATGCGAAAGGGTGGGGGACAAGGATGGAGTTTTGCGATGTTATGTTGGAAGAAGAGGCTGTCTGGCCCTGGCCGGCATGCTCCGTGGTTAGAGTCCGGTGATTCCCGGTCAAGGGCATGTGCGGGAGGCAACCAATTGATGTGTCTCTCCCTCTGTCGATGTTTCTCTCCCTCTGTCTCTCCCGCACCCTTCCACTCTCTCTAAAAATTAATGGAAAAATATCCTCGGGGGAGGATTAACAACAAAAAAAATGCTGTCTTCAGTATTAAACTAATTTGACACTTGGTAAGAATAGAGCAGGCCCAATCTTTAGTTCAATAACTGGCCATGTTAATATAACTGTATGATACAGAAATCAAAGCTGTTGTTATAGGGTTGAAATTCTTCAAAAAGCACAATATGCACACACACAAAACTGAACCAAACCAGAGGGGAAAAGGAGGCAAAACCAACCAACTGATAACTAACAGCCTCATCCCCTCGGAGGCACCACTGGAAGCAGACCCAGCACAGCGGGGCTGCGCTCGCTTCAATGGAGCCATATTCTGTATCACCCAGGAGGTGTGTATCCTGAAAACAAGGATTGCAGAAGTACAGGCAACCCAGACAACACGACAGAAGACAATTATCCTTATGAACTAATACAGTAAGTCCTCACTTAACATCATCGATGATTCTGCAACTTTATGCAAAAAAAAATACGACAAAACCAATTTTACTGTAGACTAATTGGTATTAACAAAAGTTAATCTCCTACAGCATCTCATCAGTGTTATGAACAAAGTGGCGTTACTGGAGGACCTGCTGTACTGTACACATTTCCTTTGTTGTTTTTCTCATGCAACTCAACTCGGCTTTCAGCTTGGTGTTTCTTACTCCCCTGTCTGGCTTTCCAGCAGTGAGGAAGGGACCTCCTCACACAGCTGGGAGGGTGGTAACTCCTTCCAACTACATTTCCAAACGGTCACCGACACATCTGTGACCAGTAACAAAAGGCTCCATGGAGTCTTTGCTTTGTGCAAACTACTGGGCACAAACTATGAAGACTGTACAGACATCGTCATCATGTCTGTCACCTTAATCACTGAAGACCAGGTGCCAGGCCCAGGCATCCCATGTGGGCGTGAGCCCAAATCTAGACCACGCTCTCTCACTCACTCCTGCCAGCAAAGAAAAACCAAACCAAACCTGCTGCATGGTCAGGTGACAGGCTTAACAGTTACCCAGAATGTGATCAGTGACTTGGAGCACTACTGGACCCCACCGATCCCAATGTTCACATGTAGGTACTGACTTCACAGTTATCTTAAAGGCAATGGCCCGAATGTCCAGGTGTCTGCCGTATAGATCTTTATTTGCTCCTCTAATGAAGCTCCTGGCATATGAATTATTTTCCAGAGATGAAAAACACACCCGTCAACACTGTACCGCTAAGGGGGGTTTAAGGCTTTTCAAGGCTAATTAGATCTATACTTTTGCATATTCCTGTGTAGGATACATTTCCCCTCTTCATGAAGCATCTCATTTAACCACAACAAACTAGCAGAAATGATCAGTATGCAGAAATAGGCAGCACGGGGGAAGTTATCAAATCTACGAAATCTACTTGAGCACAGACAGCCACATACTTGCCATCATTCCCGACGATCACCTCCAGGCCATGGAGCTACACGACCTACTGTCTTCCCGGTGGGCAGGGTCACACAGGCTTTCGGAGAAAATGACTATTTTACAATTTCTAATGACTTTCACTTTCCCCGAATATTGACTATAAAATAGAAACCGGTAGTTGGAATGGTATTTTACATACCATACCTTTCTCTTAAGAATCACATGTTTCTCACTAACTTTCCTTATGATGAGTATTTTCATTTGGATTTAAGTGCCAACAGCCAAGAAAAATAACTTGCCCGCGGTGACAGGGGAGTCAGCCGGAAGGCGGGGATTGAATTCAGGTTTCTCCATCTAAACTGCAGTTGAAAACTCTCTTAGGGGACTTTTCTTTCTAAAATAACAACAAAGACTTGGGAGGGGAAAAAATCTCCAATTGATCTCCTTTTCTAGAGCCAAGAGAGCTACAAGTCAGAGCAACAAAGAGATGATGTTACTAGGGTTTCAAAAAGCAGAGGGGAGGGCAGCCAGGCTGCTGCCCAGGAGGGGAAGGTGCTGAGACTGACCGAACGGCCCAGGGCCTGTGCACACAATGGGGGGGCTTTGGCCTTTTCCTTCAAAAGTGTGGCCTCTAGGCCTGCCATCTGTGCCTATGAGGGGGACAGTTTGGGGGCTATTCTATTATTTTTGGGTTATAATGAAAGGGGATCCTGAACTAGTTTTTTTATAACATTTGTAACTTTTACCATTTTACTTGGTTTTAATTTATACCAAGAGTGCTTCAGAGCAAAGGGACAGGGTCCTAGTTTGGCTTTGGGGTGAGGGCGAGGCTGGCTCTCCCTCCCCCGCCCTCGCCAGTTCCTCATTCACCATCACTGAGCCCTCAGCTTCCCCCCAGGGCCTCAGACACCAAGGGCAGAGGAATGGCATCTAGTGTCACCTTCACATTTAGGATGTCAGTCTTCATTTACTGTTTCTTTTATTTTACCACAAACCCATCAGCTACGAGAGACAATTATGGCCTCGACTGTTCTGGAAAAGAGTGAGCTGAACTCTAGGCTCGGTGACAGGAAATTTCCCACAAGCCCTATTTAACAAAATATTGGACCAAGCAGAACTGTCATCCCCACTGGAGAAGGCAATAAGCTGTTGAGAAATAAACAGATGCTGCAGATTCTTAAAAACAATACAAAACACCCGGGCAGATGAAAAGCAGCCCAGAATCTCCCTTCCTGGGGCTTCCCACGCGTGGCCCGGGCAACGGCACCTGCCGCCCGGGAAGCTTGCCGGGACGCAGGCCCGCTGCCCCGCCCGCCGGGCCCAGCTCCCGCAGGAGGCTTGTGCACACTGCCGTCCGACAGGCTCTGCGTTGGGCACTGCCTGTTGCCTCCATCAGGTCTAAAATGGGCTTCAGAATAATTATTTGGAGGGACTATCATGTTTCTAAATAAAAATAACCCATAAAGCTTTAAATAAAGACTTTTAATGAAATTTTAAAAAATGGCACCTGGAAAAATTACATAGAATGTACAAGCGTTCTAGTTGATGGCGACCCCTTTGCAAAGACAACACTTAAACGGTGCCCACAGTCAGCACCGGTGCCCTCCACTCACACAGCTCCTTGTCCTGGGGATTCTATTCTTCTCTTGGGTCTCGGGAGGGCGCCCAGGCAGAGGCCCAGCACAACGCGTGCCTCAGGGGCAAGTCTACTGAGAAGTTACGATTATTAGGCGATACCAGGGAAGAACCATTTTTAATGAAAAACAAGGCTTGCTCTTCTCTGCCATGAACATTTACTGTCATTAGCGCCTTATGCACCATATTACAAGATGCTTAATAACTGAATAACTGGCCTCTGTCCACCACAGAATGGGGGGGGGGGGCTGGAAACTGGGTGCCCCACAACGATGAGAGGTTATCGGAAGGACGAAGTCCTCACAGGTGGAGCATCTACTGAAGAATGCCCTACAGCCCTGGTCGGAGCATCACCCCGTCCACCAACAGGTTGCAGGGTTCAATTCCTGGTCAGGACACATATCTAGTCTACAGGTTCAATTCCTGGTCAGGACACATATCTAGTCTGCAGGGTTCAATTCCTGGTCAGGACACATATCTAGTCTGCAGGTTCAATTCCTGGTCAGGATGCATACAGGAGGCAACCAGTGTTTCTTTTTCACAACAATGTTTTTCTTTCTTTGTCTCTCTCCCTCTCGCCTTTCCTCTCTCTCTAGAATCAATATAAAACTTATCTTCAGTTGAGGATTTTAAAAAAAGAGAATACCCTAGGAAAAAAGTATGATGGCTAAGTTTTTTATTCCACTTTTTTAAAAAAAATCATACTGGATGTTCTGCGAGATTTTATCCAAACTACCACTTACACAAGCAACAACAAGTGGACAAACACACACTCACTGACTCTAATACTTCCTATTCCCATGCTAAACCTTCTTCTGAAACCTGAATATAATTCCTCAAACAAAAAAGTTAAATAAAACATATAGTTTGATCTATTGTTGCCCTCAAGTAATATGATGACATTAAGCCACCATGTCACCACGGATTCAATTCTACCATAGTAGAAGAGATTACCTGCACGATAGCAGTGAGTCTAAGGATATTCACCATTTTTAATAATTATGGACAAATCTATTGTTTGTGGTTTACACTTGGTGTGACACCCTGAGGATGTCCAGAGATGATCCCAGAGGAAAAGCATTCCTAAAGCTTTCCTATACATGGTCAGGATGGAGACGGAGATAAACAGAGGAAAGCCTGGAGCTTCGTAGGCTATTTAAAATATCTCGATTTAAAATAATTTAGAATCATTTCAAAGTGGCCCAAGGGACATGCAACTATGGAGGAGATGTACCGGACAAATGCTCCCAAAGGCCTCAGACACGCACGAACCACACCAGCCCGCCAGGGAGCCCGGACTCACGTGAGGGGCACCGCGCTCGCTTTGGACCGTCTTCTGCTTTTCAGGGCCCGGAGTCGATCCCCTTGCGTCACGCCGTAGCTTTCGTCGTCATCGCTGTACTGTACAAGTAAAGACACACTGAGCCAACCGCCCGGCGCCGGCTCACGCAGCAAAGCACAGCAGCTACGCTCATCCCGGGGCACGCACGCCCGCTCCGGCCGAACTCTACAACAGCTGCTGCTTTTGAAATAAAGCGACAGGTCACGGTGCAGGACACCCAACCTTCACTTCCACAGACACAGAAGCTGATAGCGCTCCTGCTGTAAAACATGACAGTGAAGAGGCATCACGGGCTTTCGATGCTGAAAACATGCTTTTTAAAATGTCACCATCTACTTACCGTCACTTAACACAGCACAGCTACCCCTAAACGCCCGGTTCTCTAAAGTCCCCACGTGAGAACGGCCGGTCCCCTAGGTCAGCTGTCACAAACGGGCAAGGTGTCGGGCGGGGGTCGCTAGGGCCACCTACTGCGCTTCCTTCACATCCCCCCCCCCCCCCCCACCACCAGCGCCCAGGTGTGAGAACTCCAGTGTCATGGACACATCACCTTGTTCTAACTATTTAGCATAAAGTTCCTAGAGAGGACTCTACGTATAAAAAATGTGACAATAATCCCTCAAAATGTGCTTTATTGCTCGATCTGCAGTTTCCTCCGCGCCCTGAAAGGTTCTCAACAGCATTTAAAGAAATAGCAACAGAGGGACGAGGACGGTTCCATTACCAGCTCAGGTTCCTGCTTGTCGTGATGCTTGGCCCCATGGAGTGAAATGTCGTCCACGGCCAAGAGGAGCTTTGAGACGGCTGCTCTGTGTTTGCCGTTCTCCTGACCCCTTAACTTTTGACGGAAATAGTCTCCTTCCAACCAGAGGCTTGACTGTTTCCTGTCAGAGCATTTAAACAGCATCAACACACACTTTTTGAGAAAGACACAAACGAACAACGTCGTCCTCCTAGAGGCCGTCTGTCGTTATGGAGACTAAGACGTCTACTTCCGATCAGTATCCAGACCCAGTTCCCTCGGAATCACCAAGCCTTCCATCTACTTACGTCACCAAGAACTGCTGCTGAGGCCCGATCACGGAGCCAGGCCTGCAGATCCTGATCCAGGCGATGGCCTCGGCCGCGGTCATCCTGTAATGCTTCATGATGTAGCAGGCTATCAGGGTGCCCGTGCGTCCAAGGCCAGCTAGGACGGGAAACAAGCCAATCAGACCTGGTCCCTGTTGCGAGGGGCGGGCCTGCCTCCCCAAACTGCGGTCCTGGAGTTCGGGCGCGCACTGCCATCACCTGGAGAGGTCTCAAAACACCTCCACAATGCCGCCTCGACAGAGATTCCTAAAATCCCCCAAATGATTCTACACACAGCCAAGAATGAAAATCGCTTTCTAAGTGACGACTCTCAATAAGTACAGTGCTTCTCCCCTGAGTTTTCTCTTAATGATAAAATCATATTCCCAAAAACACAGGCTTAAAAGCTTGCAAAACTTTCCCCTTCATTCGCCAGTGTTTCTACTGTACTTTTCTACTCATTTTCACGTGGTTTTTTAAAAACTCTATTTCTGCTCTAACCGGTTTGGCTCAGTGGATAGAGCGTCGGCCTGCGGACTGAGGGGTCCTGGGTTCGATTCCGGTCGGGGGCATGTGCCTTGGTTGCGGGCACATCCTCAGTGGGAGGTGTGCAGGAGGCAGCTGATCGACGTTTCTCTCTCATCGATGTTTCTAACTCTCTGTCCCTCTCCCTTCCTCTCTGTAAAAAATCAATAAAATATATTTTTTAAAAAAACAACAAAAAACAAAACTCTATTCCTGCTATCCTCCTTGACTCTCGCCTAAACTACCCTATTTCATCCTGCGATGGTAATTTTATGTGTCAACCTGGTAGGTGTGTTTGGGTGAGAATAGTGGACTTTTGAGTAGGTGGATTAGCCTCCATGTGGGTGGGCCTCACTCAGTCAGTTGAAGGTATGAACAGAACAGACTGGCCTCCCCAAGCTGGGAGGGGCTCTCGGGCAGACCGCCTCCCACCTTCACGCACCACTGGCTCCTCTGGGTCTCCAGCCTGCCAGCCCACCCTTGTGTGCGAGCCAATTCCTTACCCTAAATCTCCTTCTATGCATCATACATGTCCTATTGGTTGCTTCTCTGGAAAACCTCGTTGCTACAGATTTGGTACCATAACCATAACAATACAGGCTGCAGGAGTTTCAAGGCTCCTGTAAGAAAACACCCAGACTGCCTTGAAGAAGCTGTCGGCAGGAATATGCACGTTAGCACGGATTCTGGAGCGGACGCAGGTGGAAATGGAGACCGTGTTATTGGCAACTAGAAGAAAGGCCATCCTTGTTAGAAAGAGGCAAACTCCCGGCTGCACTGTGCCCGCAGGCTTTGTGGAAAGCAAAACCGTGAGCAAAGGAGATCATCCGTGCGCGAAGGGTTGAAGGTGCAGCCGGGGGTCTCCTTACTAACACGTAAAATGTGAGGGGAGGGAGATGAATCCAAGACCTTTTTAAACAGAAAGGAACCAGAAACTAAACATTTTGAAAATTCTAGGCCTATCCATACTGCGGAAAGCAAGCACACATGTTCTGAAGACACCACCAGTGGTGTGTCTGAACATGCAACTCCACAGACATTACCCATGGACTTAATCACCAGAAGCCAGAAACAGACACAGAGGTGGGCACGGCTGCCACCACCCAGGCCCAGGGCATGGACCAGGCTACACGGTCCATAACTTCAGGGACAAGGCCACCACCAGAGCCAAGGGGGCGGGCCTGCCTCCCCCGCGGGCCTGCGGGATAGATAATGGAGCCAGACAGCATTCTTCTCATTGACTCCGGGTGGTGGGAACACAGTGCAGTACACAGATCTTGTAACACAGGAGCCCACACCTGAAACCTATATGATCACTTTAACCAAAGTCACCCCAATAAGTTTAATAAAAAAGGGAAAAGAATAGCTTCCCAAAGCCAAAGGGGGGAAAATTCACCAAAGCTTCTGCACAGCTAAGGGGAAATTAGATGTGACTCATGTGATGGCAACAAGATCATTTTGGTTTCAAATAACATTTTGAAAGGACACTAAGAAGCTGTTCTTTAGCCGTGAAAGATTGACGAAAGATGTCGTTCTTCTTACTGACCAGGGAGAAGACATCTTTTCCCCTGGTTGGGAATAACAAGTCCAGCAGATGCCTGAAAAGAGACATGTCTAAAAATCACTAACCCTCTTCCTCCTCCTCCTCCTACCCCCTTCCTTCCCTGAATTGTTTGGAAGAAATTCCTTTATTAAGCACCTAAAGCATGCTAAGTTTTAAAGGACAGATTTTGCAGCCAATTTAATAGCATGATTCAGATACAGTATTTCAGAGGTTGACAAAATTTTTCCGTTTCTTTTACAGCTATTCAACTCTGCTGTTTTAGCAAAAAGCAGCCATAGACAATATATAAATAAATATGTATGACTGTGTTCCGATGAAACTTAATTTATGGACACAAACTGGAAGTCCATATAATTTACATGTCACCAAAAATTATTCCTCTTTTGACTTTGTCTAACCATTTAAATGTAAAATCAGCTTCATTTCATGGACAAAAGCTGGCAGTGGGCCAGGTATAGTCTGTGATTTGCCTACCTATGCACAACTGAGTGAGAAAACAGGGTGCTGAACTGTGTTTACAGCATGGTTTTCTGTAACTCAAAAACGGAGGCCTACAGATAAACAAAAGGCTGGAATAAATCTGTAAAACGCAGTTGCACTGTTACGCTGAGATTATGGTTGATTTTACTCCCTTTACTTTTTGGTGGTTTCCAGTTTTATTGCTGGCAATATTTTACTTTAATGATGGACATAAAACATTTTGAAAGAATTAAAAGAAAAAGAAGAGCGTTCGTCTCAAGCCGGGAGAGTTAGGGCGTTTGCTCTGCGAGGTCTAGACTGTCACCCGTTTCTTCTCTCTAATTCCTCCCATTTGCGATGCGAATGCCTGTCCCACCACTGCATTTTGGAAGAACATGACTGGTCTGCTTCCCAGGCTCACAGCTGGGGAGGAATTCTGAATGTCACCCAGAGCTGACTTGGACGATCGGCCTGAGACTTTCAACTTGGACTGGCCACGGAATGAGTGAAGACTCTGGGGCTGTTGGGGTGGAGTGAATGGTCATATTTATGTGTGAGAATGTGAGTACTGGGTGGCCAGAGTAGAATGTCATGGACTGAATTATGTGTCTCCCCCTCTCCCCTTCCCCCCAAATCCATAGTATGTTGAAGTCCTCTGTCCCACATGACAGTCTCTGGATAAAGGACTTTATGAAGGTAATTAAGGTTAAATAAGGCCCCGGCGGGCACTTAGTCCAATAGGACTGGTGCTCCGATGACATGAGGAAGCGCACCAGGGGTGAGTGTACACAGGAGACAGAGAAGGTGGCTCTCGGCTGCCAGGGCAGCTTGCCCAGACACCTACCCGCCAGCACCTAGAACGTGGACTTCTAACCTCCAAAACTATGAGAAAATAAATGCCTGCTGTTGGACACAGTCTGGTATCGCTATGGTACCCCAAGCACATTAATGCACTTCCTGATCAATCTCACGTTTCACTTGAAAATCCAATCTTCACACTGTCATCCGTTTTCTTCCCAAAACAAAGATTTGATTATATCAAATCCTCTTCCGGTTTTTAACGGGTCCCCAGGCCACTTCTGGGTTTCACTACTGACATTTAGGGCCAGATGATTCTTTGCTGCCATTGCGGGCCCGTGTGTTTTAGGATGTTCAGGGGCATCCCTGGCCTCCACTCTCTAGATGCCAGGAACACACCTCCCCCTAGTTGTGAAAACCAAAAGAATGCCTTGTGACCTGCCAAACGACCCGGGGACCACAAACCACCCCAAAGGAACACCTCAGGTTATATTGCGTATTATAATTTTTAAAACATGAAATAACCCATGCTGAATTTTATTTAAATTATTCATTACTTAAAGTTGTGATAAAATGCATATAACATAAAACTTTCCACGTTAACCATTTTTGTGGATGTACAGTGGGGCCTTGACTTACGAATTTAATTTGTTCCAAGACCGAGCTCGTTAAGGAGCTCGTTAACTCAAATTACTCTGTCAACTCAATGCAAAAAATCCTCGGAGAGACAGCTGGTATCTCAAAAAACCTGCTAGTCGGGACACTCGTAAGTCAAGGCCCCACCGTGTCATTTTCCTCATTTCATTTACTTCTCAGTTTCCTTTTAGCTCACTGAGCGTTTTTCAGACAGCCATGTTAGGTTCTTTCTCAGGCAATTCAAAGACCTATGTTTCTTTGGGGCCAGTTTCTGGAGATGGTTTTAACTGTTTGCAAGTGTACAGGCCAGTGGCACTGAAACACCTCACGCTGCTGTGCAGTCATCATCAATGTTCCCCGTGTGCGTGAGACGGCGGCGTTTCCGTTGGTGGGCAGGTAGGGTGCCCCTAGGCTCGGGGATGTGGCTGGTTTATTGTGGTGGTCAAGTCCTGCATTTCTTTTCTTATCTTCTGTCTGGTTTTTCTACCCATATTGAAAGTGGGATACTAACATTTCCAACTAGTATTGGACAATTATTTTTCCCTTCAATTTTCTTTCCCAAATATTCTGAAGGTCTATTAGACATGTAACATGTTTGTGTTATATCTCCTGACCATATTGAACCTTTATTAAAATATAATGCCCCTTTTTGACTCATAACCTTTCATTAAAGTCTCTTTTGTCTGATATCAGTATAATCACCTTTGCCCATCCATTCACTTTCAATCTATTTGCGTCTTTGAATCTAAAATTGATTCTCTTTTATTTTTTAAGCCATTCTTCCAATCTCATCTATTGATTAGAGAGTTTACAGCTTAAGTAACAGTAATATCAGCCATTATAAGTGTCCAATGCATTTACTTTGACCAGAGATCTGTATTTTTCAGATAGCTTCTAGTGACGAGCTAGTGTCCTTCCAGTCAACCTTTAGCTTTTCTTGCATGTCAAGCCCAGTGGTAGCAAACTCCCCTCACCTTTTAGTTATCTGGGAATGTCTTAATTTCACCCCATTTTTGAGAAAAGGTTTAGCCAGATGCAGGATCTGCGGCTGATTCTTCCCCTCAGCACTGACTACCAAATGTCCCAAAACACGTACACACACTAACGGCTGAGCTCAGCTGATGTTTCTCTTCAGCCAGGTAAGCTTTGAACAAAGGAATTTCACCCTAAAATGCTACTGGAAGATGGAAAACACAGTTGAAGTACAAACTCTGCCTTTATAATTATTTGCAGTGTGTACACCCTATGTTCCCCCCAAAATGTATGCACACTTTAACAGCTGATAACGCACTTCATTTTCATTCCTTTTTAGGTTTAACTGATTTAAAATAATGGGTGAGGCCAGGCTAAGCTTTGAACAAAGAAAAATTATCCACTAGACTCTTTTATGGGGATACATAAAATATAAAGTTTATGTTACAAAATCAGAAACAGTTGACAAATCAAGGGCACACAAATACTGAACAAAATGATTCTTGATGTTTAAGATTCCATTGCTTCACATTATTAGCAGTGCCTGGACCAGAACAGTCATCAGTTTGAAAACAGGGGTTGACAAAAAATATTCATTCTGTAGCTTCTTTTAAATTTTAAAAATGAACTGTATGTTAATAAAAACTGACTTTACAATCATTCAAAGTGTGTATCATTTTTTGGGACACCCTGTAGATCAACCTTTCGATGAGAAATCTACTGACATCTTACTGAGTTCCTTGAATGTGATAGGTTGATTCTGTTTTACTGTTTCCAAGATTCTCTTTGCCTCTGACTTTAGATGGGTTGATGATAATGCATCTGGGCGTGGGTCTCAGAGTTTATCTTGGTTGGGGCTCCCTGAGTCTCTTTGATGTTTACATTCATGTCTTTCTTCAAATTTGGGAAACTTTCAGCAATTATTTCTTCAAACAATCTGTCTGCTCTGCTCACTGACATACCCTAGAGCCTACCGAACAGCAGGCATGGAGCAGATTATGTGATGAATAAATGAATACATTTCCATGTGCTAAGCCTTTGTAAGGCTATGAACACAATTTAACTTGCTATACTTTTCATACAAAATTAGGGTTTTAAAGCATTCTTTATATGTAGAGCTTTTTTATGTCAATAAAATCACAATAAAGTGGGTTTAAGAAAAAAGCAACTTATGCCCAGCCAATGTGACTCAGTTGGTTGGGCACCCTCCCGGGCACCAAAAGCTGGTGGGTGCCATTTCATGCCAGGGTAAATGCCCGGGCTTTGGGCTCGACCCCCAGTAGGGGGCATACAGGATGCAGCTGATTGATGTTTCTCTATCATCAATGTTTTTATCTCTTTCTTCCTCTCCCTTCCTCTCTGTGAAATCAATAAAAAAATCTAAAAACAAGCAAATTAAAGAAAAAAAATACCTTCTGTAACCACAAAAGCAGCTTCGTGTGTCCTAGCACATCATCTAAATGACTATGGTATATACACAAACATACTCACACATCTACACATACATGCCCACCACGAGTTAACCAGCCCTACAGACAGACGTACCTTTACAATGCACTGCAATGGCGCCCTCGGCACTTTCACATATATCCAGAAATTCTTTGACGATCGCATCAGTAGGGGTGCTGCCATCCGCAAAGAAAAGATCATAGTGATCGAAACCAGCATTCGTAAATTGTTTGGCATTATACATCCTTTTATTCAGACGGATAATGGTAGTAACGTTGTGATTCTTAAAATAGGGAATGTAAGCCTCAGGAGAATGTTGGTAGTAACCTACATAAAGAAATTACCAAACGTTGTAAAATGCAGAAAGAAAACAATGATAACAATTTCATCTGTAATTGTGTGGAAACAGTTTCTAGACTGGACATTGAATACCAATCTACAATAATAAAAGCATAATATGCTAATTAGACCAGACAGCCGGACGTCCTTCCAGATGAAGCCGCTGCAGCGGGACGGAGGCAGAGGCAGTTAGGGGAGATCAGGCAGGCAGGTGAGCGGTTAGGGGGGATCAGGCAGGCAGGCAGGCAAGTGAGCAGTTATGGGTGATCAGACAGGCAGGCAGAGTGGTTACGGGTGATCAGACAGGCAGGCGAGCAGTTATGGATGATCAGGCAGGCAGACGAGTGGTTAGGGGTGATGAGGCAGACAGGCAGGCAGAGTGGTTATGGGCGATCAGACAGGCAGGCGAGCAGTTAGGGGCAATTAGGCAGGCAGGTGAGCATTTAAGAACCAGCAGTCCCGGAATGTGAGAGGGATGTCCCAGATTGCGAGAGGGTGCAGGCCCAGCTGAGGAACAACACCCCTCCCCTCCTGCCCCCACCCCCATCCCCGTGCATGAATTTCATGCATCAGGCCTCTACTTTGATTATAAGTGTAAAAAAATAAATTAAATAAAGTTAAATCCAGGCAGAATAATGTACTGAAATGATCAAGTACCTTAGTTAAACTCTTAGGCCTCTTAAAAAGAAAAAGAAAAAAAAAGATGGATACTTTTAATAAGAAAACTACCCAGGTCCCATATTTTTGCATACCATTTTCAAGTCTGGTTTTTGAATAAGGTCCACAGAAGGCAATGAATCTGCCTGGTATTATCCAATTTAAATCTCCATTTTCTGCTTTCTGCAAAGAGACCAGCATGATTCATTTTTAGACTTAATCTCTCCACACCCCTTCTCAATATTGAATGCCTGTGGAACATCAAATCCACTTGCTTTAGCACAAATGCTGTTTATAAATGATGAGGCAGGACACAGAATTTGAGCCTGCTCTGAATTTTCCAGAGAAGAGTCAGTTGGCTTCTTCTGGTCCTAATCGCTTTCTCTGAAGTGTTTTTTGCTGGGGTAGCCAGCCTTCTGAAAGCAACCGACTGCTGGTATCTAAAATATACCTAAGCACTTTGGTGATTTTATCCAAGTAAATTCTCATATAGTTGCTACTAATTAATATAAAAGTAAACTTTTCCATTAGGAGTGATCTGGAAACTTCCATTTCCCTGAATGACTAACCGGCTTCCAATATGAACAATCTTGACTCATTGAACAAAGGAGAAAAAAGTATCTATTCAGGCTCTGGGACTTTCGATATTTACTTTTTATTTGTAGAAACATGTCTGCATCATGTTGCTAACTATTTAATAAGAAGGTCGCTGAAAATTTTTTACTAAACCACCAGGAAATTTGAAATTGTAAGTATACTAGGATCACTGTAGGTCTCTAGAAAAAAACTGAAATTTAAAACACTTTACTTCCTGTTATTAAGTCCTTTCCATAACAATTATTATAAGAGAAATAGAATTCAAATTTAACAATAGAAATGATTACACAAGGACTTGAGCAGAAAGTAGGAGACACTTGAGAGCGAAGAAGAAAACTAATGATAAAAATAAGATCAGTTAGTTTTGCTGGGCGTGTATATGTGTACCTAAGACTAAGTAAGAAATGTACTGAGTTGCTTGAACATCACAGGCCAGGCCCATAACCTAAAACCAAGTTACTTAATTATCACGGAGAAGAATTGGCGAGCCCATGTTCCATGCTAACAGGCCTAAATGGGAATGAGGAAAGTGTTGCCAGGTATTCTGATTTTCAAGTGAAGACAGAAATCTGAAGTTTTTAATAAGAAACCTGCGGCCGAAACCGGTTTGGCTCAGTGGATAGAGCGTCGGCCTGCGGACTGAAAGGTCCCAGGTTCGATTCCGGTCAAGGGCATGTACCTGGGTTGTGGGCACATCCCCAGTGGGAGATGTGCAGGAGGCAGCTGATCGATGTTTCTCTCTCATCGATGTTTCTAACTCTCTCTATCTCTCTCCCTTCCTCTCTGTAAAAAATCAATAAAATATATTAAAAAAAAAAAAAAAGAAAAGAAACCTGCGGTTAGATTCCATTGAATCATAGGTGATTATAAAATGCATCCTGAATTCAGAGAAGTAAAAATGGGGGGGGGCGGGGGGGGCGGGGCGGGGGGGGGGGAGATGGGAGAGGGGAGGAGGGATCAAGGAAGCAATGAAACACTAACCTAACATTTCTAAATACACTGTGGAGACCAAACAAAACCAGCCTGTGAGCTCCTGTCTGGAGCTGCCTGAACAGTCCCCGTGTCTCAAAGCAATTTCCCTGAAAGTACACACACTTGTGGTGACCTCTGCTCCCTGCCAGCACCGGCATTTCTGCATTAGTGAGAGAAGCCAATGAGTCGCTCCCAAGGGGCACACGGGGCGAGGCTGTGCCGCACAGAAGGAACACCGAATGCTGGCTTAGGAGTTCTGCTTCCATAGGAAAGATATTTTATTTTAAATGTTTAATTTTATAAGGACAAGCACCAGGAAAGTGTAATCATTAAGCTGCAGTCGATAGTATAAGGTGGCAATGAAATACATACTGTACTTTAGAAAGAACTGCTCTAACAGAGAATAAAGACAGGACGCGCCCTAAGAAATCGCACATTTTGCTCTTACATTTTGGGCTCATCTCGGTAATGACTGATCGCAGCTACTAACCCTGCCCATCAATACAACAGTTTAGTTATGCCTAAGAGTTTACAATAATTAGAAATTAACTGTTAAAGGACAGTTACGTGAGGATTCAAGATATTGCTGCATAAAATGCTGCATGAAACCACCGATGACCAGGGACAGTGTCAGCTCCAGGTAACTGCAGTAAGATAAGAAGATCAGACCCCACAGCATTCGTGGCTGGAAAAGACCTTCCGCGTAAGCATCTTACTCGCTATCGATCTGGAGGGTGGGATAAACAGTAGCATCAAGTTACTTTTCTCTAAAGAAATGCACTGCCTTCCAGCGTGAGGACACCTGTGGTTTCGCCTGCCTGGACTCTTCTTCCTTTGGTCTGTGTGGCTGACAGGGCCGGCCGGCACTGCAGCTCGGCGGGAGCGGGTATGCTCCCCCACCGGCCCCTCCCTTGCTGGGAACATGCTGGTTGAGGGCGAGGGATATGACCTAAGCCAGGCCAAGGAGAGGATCTCCGGTCTCCCGCTGGAGCCTGGATGCCCTTTTCTGGTGAGTTCGGCAACTGGGAGCGCCACAGTGGCTGGCGGTTACCACTCCGGAGGGCCAGCCCGGACACAGCGCCCCTCCAGCACCGTTTCTGGTGGTGAGTACCTGAATCTGGTCATGTGTCATGCTCTTGGCCTTTTGCGTGTGAAAGTCAATAAATCTTCCTTTTTTTATTTAAGCCGTATGTGTTTACGTTGTGAAATTCACAAGCAGAAGTGTCCTGACTTCTGCAAACGGTAGTGATAAAAACATATTTTCCAGAGGTTAGTTAGATGATGCCATGGCTATCTATTCATCTCATCAGATTCTGTGCTAAGGGTTTTACAAACATGGTCTCATTTAGGCACCAGATGAAGTCATCATTACTGAAGATGTTTAATCTGAAGCTAAGGAAACAGCGGGAGCACGGCCTTCCCTCTGGACGGAGGCACCACCGAGGGCAGACGCCCCTGAGGAACTGGGCTGCGTGCGAGGATCACGCGGGACTCCCTCACACTCTACGCACACCCACATTGCTCAGTGTTTTTAAAAACAGTGATACTTCAGTAATGAAAACATAAGTAGCAGAATTAAAATCAATGTACTTGAAAACTTACTTCATAGTGTTCATATTCATCAAGTCTGAATGAGTTGAAATTAAAGAAGCCATACTGCATTGCCTGAAATCCAAAGGAAAGCTTTTAAGAACAAAGATGCAAATGGTAAATGATTTCCAATCCAATTTCCTAATATCAGGAGGCACCCTCCAAAAATCATTATTATATTCAGATTACGTTCCACTGAATAGTTTTCTAAAGAGGTGGAATATGTCTTATAAAGGCTCTCAACTAGTTCTAACTAGTTACTAGTACATCAATATTTACTTTAATGAGATTTGATATTTTATCTTCCTTCACAATCATCCTATCTGTGCAGAGCTAAAAAAATCAATCCTTCAAAGTAATCCCACTTATTAGCTCTACACCACCCAGTCTTCAAATATAAGGCACAAACTCAATGGCCCCTGAACAGATGATAGAGGAAAGGAAGGTTAATTTGTCACGAACGAATCCCGCACACTTCAGAAATAGTTTTACTTTCGAATTCTTCTTGGGTTAAGAGATTATTGTTCCCTCTACAGCCCAGAGATTAAACACTGAAATTCAAAATTTTGAGGAGAAAAATGTCTTCTTTCAATAAAAAACACACACACGTAGTTTTCCGTTCTGGGTTGCAGTGGGCAGAGCATGCTAAGTGAAATGACAAAGGACCTATACTCTGAGGCTAGGGCAAGCTGGCAGCTTCCAAGAAGCAGTTTTGGAGCCAGACAGTATGTAAGCTAGCATTCTTGATCAACAAGGTAATCTTATTAACTAATGTCACCCCAATAAATGTAATTTAAAAAAAATAGAAAACAGCAAAAACTAGGGGTGACTTTTACAAACCCAGTTTTCAAAATTTAAAGTACTGAACTATAAATGAAAAATATGAAAGCTACAATACCAAGAAAAAGGCCTCATTTTATGAAGTGTAGTTATTTAAATGCTAGCTCCAAGACCAAATCCATGAGGAATTTTATTTCCTTGAATTCAAAATTCTCAATACATGTCATGATATTTGGACCAGAGATGTTCCTAACAGAATGATACAATAAGATACAGTTTAAAGGAAATTTCTATTCTTTGAATTTCATAAGGAGATCCCATTAGAAGTAGCACTAGTAGCATTTTAAATGTTTCAGGCACACAATATTCTAAAGCAGTCACAAACAAATGCTTAAATTGAAAATCAGAAGCTGTTGACTTCAATAAAATTACATATAGTGTGAAAAGTGCAATCTTTGACTTACAGTTGCTAATTAGAACTGTAAATAAAATAAAAAAACAAAATAAAAAAAAAACTTAAGTGCGGCCGGTATGGCTCAATGGTTGAGTGACGACCCAGAAACAAAGTCACCCATTCGACTCCCAGGTTTTGGGCTCAATCCCCAGTAGGGGGTGTGCAGGAGGCAGCTGATCCATGAATTTCTCCCTCGTTGATGTTCTATGTCTCTATCCCTCTCCCTTCCTCTCTCTCTCAAAACCAATAAAAACATATTTTAAAAAAACTAAGGCAAGAATTAATGACAGACAGCTATTCACTGTTACAGACCATTTCCCAGGCCCTCAAAGTTTTTCTGCTATTTTTTGAAAGGTGGTGGGAGATGAGAAAAGGGAGGCCCAGGGTCCTGACCGTGCACCTGCCAACATTAGCAGCTTCCTGGGTCCATCTGATGGGTAGTAACTCAGTCAGGAGGGATCACGTAGACCTGCCATGCCTCCTCTCCCGACGGAGCCCATCACCTGCCGAAACCGAGGCCTGGGGGCTGCCTCAGTCACCTCCACCCCTCACAGAGGCGCTGGACTGAACCCCAAAAGAATGAAAAGGTAGAACAATCAATCTCTGACTTTGCATACTAATTAGTCCTCTCATCTTAATCCACAACATTTCTGTCAAAACTCTCAAAAGCCACCATATTCCAGCATACACAAGAGTCAAGCTGGGTTCCTTTGGCCTCTGGAACTACAATCCCATAAACACTCGAGAGGTCACTGAGCCATAGTTCAGTGACTTCACGTTCTAGTTTCTTTTGCTTCCTGACATCCAAGAGAGTGAGGGTGACAATCGGGTCTGCTGTGCCCCTAACTCCAGGGGACCCTGTTCTTTGGAATGTGATATGCAGGGTATCCCCTGGTGTCAGAGAAAAGCAAGCAGCCTGGTTATAAAACACAAGCGCTACTTTAAAGTAGCTTTTCAGTAGTGAGCTACTTGGTTTTATATATTAACTAATGGGCTATCAGTGTACAAACTAATGGCTATTCAAATCCTGTGAAATGGAAATTGACTGCTTGAAGACTTAACACCACGTGTATGACACTGTGCTATAAACACGTAAATAGGATTGGTGGGAATCCTATTTATGTATCTTATGCAAACACATAAATCAAAGGGAAGTTGGAAATCAGTAATCTATTGCCATTCTGTTTTTCTCTGAAGTCACAACACACTCAAAGCCGAGTCTGGATTTAGAACCCAATTACCTAACTGTCTGATTGTCCACTGTTGCTCAGGTGGCTTCACTCATGCAGACGCTCTCAAATCAGAACAAACTTCCCCAGTGGGGGCCCTTCTCATGTTAGTGGGGAAATGGTGGGAGGTCTTTGGGGGGAACACCTGTCTTCCCTGGGCGGTGCTCCGTTCCCCAGCACAACGGTGGGGGCGTCCGCAGTCACCTACCTTCTTCACCGCGTGGAAACAGTCCAGAAGGGTAATGAAGAAATTGCAGCTCCCATAGGCAGCGTCTCTGAAATCCCAAGAGCATTGAAATGCGCAGCTCAGTTAATTTTCTGCAGTACATTTACTCAACACAAAGCTGACTAGGATTTAAAACCAAACACGTGCTCAGAGCAAGATCCAGGGGGAAGGGGGAGAGAAGAATATTTGTTGTTTGGTTTTTAAATAAAAGTCACTGATATAAATTTTACTGCCGTTCCTACCTCCTCCAGTAAATACCGTTTTATAAACAGGGATCAATAATGGCCACTTCCTAAATTGTCAACGATCTCTCTGGATGAGCTTGGGCTTTGATGGTTGAGCTTCGAGAGTTACCAATCAACAATATGGATCCCTGCCCCCAAAGGGCAAGGTATATGAATTTTCTCCCCAAAATACAGAAAATACAGCATCGAACTGTTACCAGGAAAGACTGGTTTTTGATTCTGTATATATGTATCTCTGTGCGTGTGTGTGTGTGTGTGTGTGTGTGCATGTAAGCGCATGTGTGCTTGTGTATATCTCCATCCAAGTAGGAAAAAGAAGGTAGTATCTGAGATCCTAGGTGCAAGCGGAAACACACTTTTCTCCTCTCATTATGCTTTTACAATTTTACACTTTTTAACAATTTAACTGGGCAACTTCTTTCTGATCCTTAAAGGAACACAGTACCACTAAACCTCAGGGATTAGGGCATCAACTACCCTTAGCAGAATCACCCTGCTCTTGGGAAGTGCTAACGTCAGTTTGCAGATAACTCGGCCCAGAGCTGCACCGACACTCAGCAACACTGTCACTACACGGCTCCCACACCAGTGAGGGTCTTGTCCAGAAAAATAAGGCGCTCCTCCACGCCCCCCCGCTTCTCCTTTCAACTACCCGGAGCCGTTGCAAAGCGCACCTCCGGGGAATTAAGATCAATGTAGTTATGCTCATCCTAGACATGCCAAACCCCCGCGCCTCTCGGCATGCACATCCGGTCCGTCCTTCTGTGGAACGGTGGCTCCTGGAGCTGCAACTGCCGCCTTAGTTGTAACATTACTAACCTGAGAAATCAAACTGCACATTTAAGCTGTTTAATTCTTGCCCAAACCTTAAGAATGTTGGTGGTTAGTGCAGCATTAAACTAACGGCGAGGAAAAGGAAGGGCGTCCCTCTCAGCTCCCACAGTGTCAGAGCTCCCGGCTGGCCTGGCCTGAGTCACGGAGGAATGTGCACGCCCGCCTGCTTGAGGCTGGCGCACGTCTTATAACTCCCACTCTGTTGTAAGCTTCGGAATTTAAAAGCTGCTCTTCTAAAGCCGGCAAAGGTCTGCATTTTACCAACAGCTCACTGACAATATTCAGGAAGGAGAAAAGCAAAATACGCCGGGGCAGCGATCCTGAGCGCGGTCCCTGGACCCGGGGCGTCAGCGCCACACGAACTGTCAGAAACACCAAGGCCCAGGCTCCCCGGACCTGCTGGGTCAGAAGGTCTAGGGGTGGGGCAGGTGACTATGAGCGATGTACAGTTTGAGGATCACTGACTACAAAGCAACACAAATACTTGTTTCATAGAAAGAATTTCTCATGAAATAGCAATGTCTTAAGGGAGAGAAGCTAGTTAAGAAAGTGAAGTAGTTTCCTCTAAATCAAAATTATCAGTGGAAATAGGGTGAACTGTCCCGTGACGTCCTGACGTGTTTAGTCATGTCTCCTTCTCAGCCAGGATGCTGTCTTCTTAACCAGCTGACAGCTCCTACCCAATCCAGGGAGGGCATGTTGACGCAGTCTTTGCGACAACGTGATACATGCATCCGATGCATGTTTTTGGAGAACCCATTGTGGGCCAAACCTTGCTCTAGCCCAGTGATGGCGAACCTTTTGAGCTCGGCGTGTCAGCATTTTGAAAAACCCTAACTTAACTCTGGTGCCGTGTCACATATAGAAATTTTTTGATCTTTGCAACCATAGTAAAACAAATACTTATATTTTTTATATTTATTTTTTTAAATATATTTTTTATTGATTTTAGAGAGGAAAGGAGAGGGAGAGAGAGATAGAAACATCAATGATGAGAGAGAATCATTGATTGGCTGCCTCTTGCATGGCCCCCACTGGGGATCAAGCCTGCAACCCAAGCATGTGCCCTTGACCGGAATCGAACCCGGGACCCTTCAGTCTGCAGGCCGATGCTCTATCCACTGAGCTAAACCAGCTAGGGCTTTGATATTTATTTTATATATTTAAATGCCATTCAACAAAGAAAAATCAACCAAAAAAATGAGTTTGCATGTCACCTCTGACACGCGTGTCCTAGGTTCGCCATCACTGGCCTAGTCAGTGATGATCTGGCAAGCTTTCCCCCGGGCTCGGCGCAGTTCTGCCTCACACGTCGCACTGTCTGAATGGCCAACAGAACCACTCATGTCTGTTCATCAACACCTCCTTCCCCACCCAAACAGTCAGGCTTCTTCAAAACAGCACATGGCAGCTACAAATCTGGATGTAAGCCGTGGCGGGTAGAGGGGGCTTGGCACTATGATCATTTAACAAACTTGGGAAATCGGATGCAAGTCAATGGAGTCTTGCTTAGAAACTGCAAAACAATGTCAAGTTCTAGTTTTTAGGAATAACAGCTTTCACAGGATACTGTGTGCATAATAGCCCAACACCTCAGATAACCCAGGCACATATCCAAAGGACAATGTAAGTAAGTGGTGACAAAGTCATTGAATGGAATGCTATTCCATTACTCCCTATTACAAAAGTAGTAAGAAGAAAAAGAATGCGCTGCAGATACCTGCCACAATACGGACAAATTTCCTAAGTAGCGTTTAAAAAGCTAGATCCCAGCTCTCCAAACGCACACTGTATGACCCCATTTATAAACGCTCAGAGGCTAGGCTAAAGAAGCGCTCTGCAGAACACCAGTGTCACTGTTTATCGATGAGCCTGTCACTCAGGGACCAAAAATGCAAGCATTTTTCTAAACGAAGCACATGGTTGCCGTTATACTTTAGGCGGAGAAGGAAAATGGAGCACTTTCCAGTTTAGGAAAGAACATCATCCCTTTCCACCCCTTCCAATAACAGTATTTACGGTGATGGTGGGCTAGGAGGAAGGGGTGGCGCTGGGTTCAGAGTAATTCTGCTACTTTACTAAGACACTAATATACAGCGCTGAGTGCAACAGGTCACTGTAGGACGGACGGCAGACTGTCCTCACAGCTCTATTCCGTGGAGCATGTCCGTGGCTGGCCCTGCAAAGTCACTGAAGGAGGAGGTGCTGCCGAACGTGAGGGAGACGCCTCCCCAAGCTCGTCCGCAATGAGGGCAGATCCCATTTCACGGGAAAGCCCGTGCCTTCAGCCAGGCACTTGAGGTTTATGCAACAATCCTAAACCTACGGGCCTGCGAGTGGAAGAATAATGTGATACTTGAGATTATCCATACAGCTGGCAACAAGCAAAATTATTCCACACACTTACTACACATTCAGCACCATGTAAGTATTTAGATCAGCGGTTCTCAACCTGTGGGTCGCGACCCCTTTGGCGGTCGAACGACCTTTTCACAGGGGTCGCCTAAGACCATCCTGCATCTCAGATATTTATATTACGATTCATAACAGTAGCAACATTACAGTGATGAAGTAGCAACGAAAATAATGTTATGGTTGGGTCACAACATGAGGAACTGTATTAAAGGGCCAGAAGGTTGAGAACCACTGATTTACATTATATGGTTAAGTCAAATATTTTGGTAAACAGGTAGAAAAACTTTCAGAACTTAATCTGATTTAAAGAAAAGAGTTTTTTTCCCAAAGATCTTCAACACAATCATACAGTAAGTGTGAGAGGAGAATGGGGGCGTCACCCTCGTGCACAGACATGGCTCATTGAGCTGCTCTGCGCACAGCCATTTGGTTTTTCTAGTAGCGATGTCGCGTCAGCAGCCTCACCCACGGCCTCTGCTGCCTTGTCCCCAGGAGAAAAGGGTTCATTTTTACCCCAGAAATTAACTAGTGGGAAAATTTATTTCTTAATCCCCGGGAACCAAACTCCTCACCAGCTTTGAGGGCCCTAAGTCAGGACCCTCCTCTGACGGTCCCATCAGGGGGCGTGGTTCTCAGTGGAGCCATCCACACACACCACACTCCAGGGACTTGGGCAATGCCCGAGCACTTTTTTAGTTTTGACACTTGTTGTGGGGGTGGAGGTGTCACTGGCATCTAGTGGGCAGAAGCCAGGGATGCTGCCGATCACCCTACAATACACAGGGCAGCCCCACAACGAAAGACCAACCGTGTACCTACTGAGCAGGCTCGCCTACGGGTCACCTGCCCTCGCCCCGACATGACCGTTTCCCAGGTCTGCCTTTTGCAGAAACCACCGCACCCCGGTATTCCTGGCAAGGGCCTGCTTAAATGAACTTACCATATCATCTCATATTTACCTGAAAGGAATGTAGGTTATATCGCCGAGCATTAATATTGAATATGCTTCTTCTGGAGTTCTCCCCAGATATATAACCTACATTGGAAAGGAAGAAAAGGGCAATTTACTTCCACATGAAGACGCAGCGCTGTCGCTGCCAAGCTCCGCACCATTTCTCGCGGCCGACGGAGCCTGTTCCCAGCCTTCCCAAGGGCCCCCGTCACCCAGCCCTGCCAGTGAATCCCTTTTTGTTTAAATCTGCCACAGCCTGTTTCTGTTGTTGCAATAAGAGCCGTGACCTACATGAGCCGTTTGTGGAGGGAAGTAGAGAAATTTAAAAGCAGATTTTCTAGCCCGGCCGGTGTGGCTCCGCTGGCTGGGCATCCTCCCGAGTGCCGAAAGGTTGCCGGTTCGAGTCCCAGTCAGAACACATGCCTGAATCCCCAGTAGGGGGCGTGCAGGAGGCAGCCAGGTGATGCTCTGCTCTCACATGGGTGATGTTTCTCCCCCTCCCTAAAAATCAATTTAAACAAACAAACAAACAAACAAACAAACAAACAAACCCTACAGTGATTTAAACAAATAAATGAAAACAGATTTTCTAGGTCAGGATGTTAGACAGAGCGCATGCTTCCTAAACACCCACTGAAGTGACAGTACAGAGGTGTGTGGGGAATGGGGTCGGGGGGTGGACGGGGATGGGTGGAAAGGGGCACAAAAGCAGAACAAAGATTTTGATTAACGCCACCCAGTAGACGTAACCACTCATCGTTCTGTACAGACTTCTTGTGAAACCACACCGCTTCCTTTACCTTCCAGAGAACGTTGCGTTTCAGCTTTCATCTCCTAGAGCACTTCAAGTAGAGTCTATCCCATTCGAGATCCACAGCTGGTGTTCCTTGCATTTTCCAAAAATGCCTTGTTTTCTGCCCCAGCATTTTTTACTATGTATACAGTTTTATGCAGTTTTTGGTCTGCGGTCTTTCCCGCAATACTTTATAGATGTTATTCCACCGTCTCCTCATTACTGGTGTTGCAGAGTATTTTACCAGGATCATTCTCCCTTCCTCCTCTCTAGGAACTTTGAGCATTTCACTGGCATCCCTCTAAATAAGTCACCCCACCCCATTAAGTTTGCTAGGACTTCCTGACCCTCATTCTATCTGAAGACACAGCTTTAAAAAAAAAAAAAAAAATCCTCACCCTAGGATATTCTTTTCATTGATTCTAGAGAGAGGTAGGGAGAGGGAAAGAAAGGGAGGGAGGGAGAGAAACATAGATCTGCCTCCTGCATGCACCCCGAAACCTGAGCACGTACCCTGACAGGAAGCAAACCCACGACCCTTCGGCGCATGGACCACGCTCCCACCACCTGAGCCACAGCGGCCAGGGCTGAAGGCACAGGTCCTTCTCCAACTCACAACCTTCCTGCAGGGCAGGGCATTTCCAATCCCTGTATGGAGGCGGGAGGAGGCTGCAAGCATTAGATTTGCACATATATCACCAATATCAGATTCCATTCTAACGCTTATTGTAGCTTTACATAAAACACTTTAAATTCTCTGTAGCAAAAAGAAGTCACTGAAAAAGTTACAAAAGTTTTATCTCCATTACTTATTATACATGAGATGTTCCCGCCGCAAATGGTGAGCATTCTGAAGTGCGGATCCATATCTTATGTTTCATTGTAACTCTCGTGGTTAGTCCACTATAGTCCACATGGACTCTGATTCACCAAACTTAAATCAATGTAAAGGAAATTTTAAAATAATTGATAAAAAGCTGATATAAATATATCACTGGACTAAGAGAAATTATAAAAATCCAAGACCCAGCAAGGATATTTGAAATTGAGAGGACATGTCCCCTTAGCTTCCAGATAATATTTTATCAATTTTCAGTTTTAAGACTCATAAATGGAAAATTTCCCCAATGTATAGCCTGTTTCTCAATATGATTTCATCCCATTTACTCTAAAAAGAATACAAAACTATGACTCATTATTCAGCATTTCTAACATTTACCTGCAGCAGTGTACGAACCCACAGGAGGCACTACAAATACCTCAATTCCAGAATTGCTTCGTTATCCAGTATCAGATAAATTTTCAATTATACTATTACTGACTCATACAAGATTACAATTTATCATGAATTAACCACAAGATCTAATCTCATTCAACATTTTCTATTTGCTTATATATTACTTTCTCCACATTTACATCTTTTAAGCGTCAACCTAGCAATTAACTTTCTAATTTATTACTATTTGAAAAAACAGTAAAACAATTATTTTTTTAAAATATTTTTACTGATTTCAGAGAAGAAGGGAGAGGGAGAAAGAGAGAGAAACAACAATGATGAGAGAGAATCATTGATCAGCGGCCTCCTGCACGCCCTGCGCTGGGGATTAAACCTGCAGCACAGGCCTGAGCCCTGACTGGGAATCGAACTGTGACCTCTTGATTCATAGGCTGACATTCAACCACTGAGCCACGCCAGCTGAGCACAAATCTTTTAATAAAACATTTTTAATCCGGCCCCTGCTCCAATTTCCTCATTTTCTTCTAGTTTCCAACACGCCTCCTTTCTCTTCCAGGACTTACTAGGTAATAGATAACATCAGTCTTTTCTTCGTTCTACTTGGGGACTTCCTATCAGACTCCTTCCAAATAAACCACCCTTAAACAAAAAACACAACAACAAAGCAAATAAAAGGATACCGTGAGGCCAATGAAGGTGAGAATAGGGCTCGTGTGTGTATGTGTGTATGTGTGTGTGTGTGTGTGTGTGTGTGTACACACATAATTTAAGTAAATTAGTTCGATGAAATCCAGAGACCTCTCTCAAATTACAGAAAGTTTTCCTTAAGCACCAGATTAATGATAATTTCTCCTGCCCAAGAATGCACTTCTTTGGTTTTGCTCTTTACTAATATTGCAATGGCATTATTTCCTTCTAACTTCCAAAATAAAAATAATCTCTAATACATTAAATTATTGTGGGTTAGCCTTGGAACACAAGTTCAACTCAAAAAAGACAATAATATAACAATTTTTCCTATGAGGAAACATCCTAATGATGAACTTTAAAAAATGTAGCTTTTAAATCCAGTTGGGACAAATACAACCAAAGAAAATGAGTAAGAATGAGAAAGAGAAGGAAAAAAAACAAGCAAAATTCAGCTGAGGAATGCCTGTATACGAATAGATAATAAGTCTATTTACATAATGCTATGGTAAGAATGTGTGTGTGCCCCGCCAGTTCATATGTTGAAATCCTAAGTATTAGTACACGAGGCCTTTGGGAGGGACTTAGCCATGAAGTGTGCAGCCCTCATAGATGGGACTGGTGCTTGCAAAAGAGGCTCCAGAGAGACCTGCCCTCTCCCACAGGTGAGAGCCCTCAGCAGAACACGTGTCACCCTGATCTGACTCCCAGCCTCCAGACCGTGAGGAGTACAGTTCTGTTGTTTCTAAGTGTCCCAGTCTGGTATTTTGTTAATAGCAGCCTCAAAGAACTAAGATACAACTAGCAAAGAAATATTTGCTAACAATTATCATTTTAAATTTTACACACATTCACCTGCTTTCCTAGTCAAAAGGCCTCCCCCAAATGAAACTATTCTAAATTTGTCGCTTAAGAAAAATCCTATAAATGGCTCCTCTGTTAACACAAATTCTCAAGTCAGTAAACTCTAAATCAATGCAATTCCATGAAACATCACAGTGTTCCCGACAATTTGGAAGCTAAATGGCGTCTCAAATTCTTTTGGTCTATTTTCATGAGTAGCCATGCATATAGAATGGCCACTCTGATTCCACACTGCTGTCCGAAAATAGGAGGCAGCAACTGGTGAACAACAGGGACATTAAACAGCTGCGGAGCCTGCTTCCAAGGCCGCCCCCGTAATGCCCATCTCCTGGCATTTCCACCCCCACGGGTCCCACCATGATTGGTTGTCTCTGTCTAAGCAACTTATGTTGTAGTTAGTAATGGCCAAGTCTGATTTGGAGGCTAGATCATAAAAGGCACTGTGGCTGCTGCCTTGCTTCCTCGTGGACCCCTCACTCCAGACCCAGGGAAACCAAGCTATCATTCCGAGGGCACTCGGCCAGATCACATGACAAGGACCTGATGGTATCGTGTCTGCCTGATTGCCCCTAACCACTTCTGCCTGCCAGCCTGATCGCCCCTAACCGCTCCCCTGCCAGCCTGATCGCCCCCAACTGCCCTCCCCTGCCGGCCCGATCGCCCACAACTGCCCTCCCCTGCTGGCCTGATTGCCCACAACTGCCCTCCCCTGCCGGGACCCGCCTCCTCTACCAGGACCGGCCTCCTCTGCACCGTGCGTGTGGAGCCATGGTAGCCCCAGGCCTCACCTCATGGAGCAGCTGCTAGGCCACGCCTCCACTGTGCGTGCAGCCATCTCGTGGTGGCCATCTTGTGATGACGTTGATTGCGAGGGTGTGACGCCATCTAGGCTTTTATTAGTATAGATACATATCTAGTACATCTGTACAGTGACTCCCAATTTAGATGAAAGGAAATTGGATGCCTGGAGTGGCAAACACTTATTTCCCCAGGCCAGGCAGCTCACAGATGTGAGGAACTGCCGGGAGGAAAAGTGCACAGGATATACTATCTTATTGGTGGAGACATTTTTTTAAGACAAAAAAAATCTTAATTTTAAAACATGAAATCTCCTAATTTTTAAACATGGGAAAAACAAACCGCTATTTAGAATCACTCCGAGTCCCGTGAAGCTGGCAGGCTGCTACTGTCCGGCCTCGGAGCTGCTGCTCACTCACGATCACACTGCTTGTGACTGACGGGAGAGGGCCTGCTGCCCCGGCCTTATTTATAGGCAAGAAACCAGCTACCTTCAACAACACGGAAACAAGAAGGGCATCCAAACTCCAGAGCTTAACCGGTCTGCAACCAAAGAGCACGTGTGGTCAGAGGGCCACTGCTCCTCACCCCTTCCCGCGTTAGCACCGCCCCAAGTGCCCCACGCAGCTGAGCAGCTGAAGGTCAGGCCGGCGCACCAGGGTGAAGGGAGTTGTGATGAACGGGACCGACGGCAGCCAGCTGCCT